TCTGCTTCACCCACAGGTAAGCCACCAGGTTCTCGACGAGCTGGATGAAGCCATACCTGCCATTTGGGTAACATCGGAGGGCATAAGGGAGGAGTAACGCAAATAGAGACAGTAAGTTCAAAGAAATATCATAACCGGCAAATGAGGAACTCGGAGGAGGAGGGTTTCGCATTAAAAACGTGGACACTTACTCGCTCTGGTAGGTTCCTCGTTCCTTCAAGGGCAGATCAGGTGTCCCCTGTTCTGCCATGAACTGGACAAGGGAAACGAACGGAACGATAGGTGCATCCGACTTGCAAACAAAAGCACGAGGGCCATGAGCCGCTTGAGTCGTCGAGCCTCATTGTCACCGTTCTCGAAATCGACGATCGAATTCTGCTTCTTCATCTTCCCATCGCGCTGCAGTTTCTTTGCCATGGCAGCCTCATGCTTCAGACTGTGATGATGGTTACGCATTGTTTGCTTCTGAATATCGATGTCGTCCTCACCGTTGCGGCCGTACTGATAGTCGGGGTCGTCGCCAAATGCCATGCAGACGCTGCACTTCATGCAGGGGCGACCCTCCTTCGTCTCGGAAATCACCACCATGGAAAGTGGCGTAACTATTGCTCCCTCGCTTTGAGTTGGAGCTCCTCCACCATTAGGAAGAATGGCCCGTCGTCGGACGGCGGGGAGCTGGGACCAGGATCGCCGCTGCTGCTGCCGAGCTGGATAGGATTAGCTACAGTAGAGGCGCAGGCATGCCGACCGAAGCTGAGTTTGCGTTGGATGTACTTCGCCTTGTCAGGCTTGCGGGTGGGCAAGACGGGCCCTCCAGAGACGCGTGGCGGAAGGACGGCAGAAACCTTGTAGGTGATGACGGACGGGAAGGCCTAGTAGCAAAGTCAAACTCGCAATCTTCAGCACCAAAGATGATCCATGGCTCCGTGTCCAACCGAGGCAGTGGGCTCAGAGGAGCCACTGTAGGGGGAGGACTAAGCACGGGCAAGCGGGCGGCAGGAGACGGGCTACGCGATCGTGCACGCGCCGCGGGAGGCGGACTAGCGGCGGGAGAGCGAGCCGAGGGTGGAGAACTCAACGCATTCTTGTTACTCGTACTAGGACTAGCCTTTCGACGACTAGTCGTATGTCGGTTAGCGGAAGGAGGCGGTGCGGGTTTGACTGGCAGAGTAGGCTCGACGGGCATACACCTCTGATGTGGCTCAATGCTAAGGGGAGGCGGCGTGGGTCGGGACCGAAGCAGGTCTAGCCCCGTAACCGTCGATGGTGCAGCATCTTTAGGAGGGTTAGCATTAACCTCCTCTAAGGCCATAAGACGAGACACACGATATGAGCAGGAACTAGGTGGGAGAGCCAGCCAAGAATGAAGCACTAGGACGAGGGGAGGATGAGGACACCAGAGAGAGTACTCATGGCTGCAGGGAGTGGTTCTCTGAGATGTGGTGGTCTGAGGTTGGGGGCTTCTGCATGTTGATTGTACACCATGGCGGCTCGAAGAAGAGCGGCTTGGGGTTGCAGATTCAATACGAAACCCTCGTCGGGATGCCACGACGAGGGTGGCTTGAGGTTTCATTGGGAAATGCGCTGGCACATTGCTGCCTAGCGCTGCTTGCCTGGAACCTGGCTGGCAGCGACGGTGCCTGTAACAAGACAGTGGCGTGGTAGCAGCTTGCGTCAGCAAGCTGTAAATTTATGTGCGCTGGACTGTTTTGCTGCCGATTTCGGGGTAGAATTGAATGCGCGTGCTGCGGTGCACATGGGACTGGGTTGCAGGCAGTGGCCCAGTGGGCATGTGGACTAGTGGCCCTGCTACTAGAAGGGTGGATTTGTCGGTACCAGACGGAAAAAAACGGCCGGTCTGATAAATCAGGTGAATGTGTACACCTAGTCTGATGTTTCAGACGAATTATTATAACTTGTCTGAACGATCAGACGAATATATTTGGCTCGTAAAAAAATCAGATGAAACATAAAATCCCGATCTAATTTTCAGACCATCAGACCAATTTGGTCTAATGGGAGGTGGAGTTGCGTGGTTGGCGCGATGGCGTGCAGTGCAGGAAAGTGGAAGCAAACCCTTGCAGTGAATAAAAGCATTCCAAGCATTCTACCGTACTGTACAGACTTTCTATTACACTAGGCATCAGCAAGAGAACATGCAGCAGACTGTCGAACATAACTGAGTATGTTAGTATAGACAATATAGGTTTGTGCCTTAGAGGGTACAACACACTTGCATATATTCCCTTGTACTATCTCATGCTAATCATTCTTCAATTCTGATATGGTATCACGAGTAGGTTAGGTCCCACCGCCCACCCGCGCTTCCGCCCTAGGTCCTAGCCGCCCGTTCCTAGCCGGCCCCCGCGCCCGTTCCTAGTCGGCCCCCGCGCTCGCCCCTAGTCGGCCCTCGCGCCCGTTCCTAGCCGGCCCTCGCGCCCGTTTCTACCCGGCCCTCGCGCCCGTTCCTCGCCGGCCCTTGTGCCCGTTCCTAGCCGGCTCTTGCGCCCATTCCTAGCTGGCCTCTGCGCCCGTCCCCTGACCCCGCGTCTGTGCCTCTCCTGCCGTCTCCTCCTCTTCCTGTCCACGGCCCTGTGTTCCCTCCCCCGGACTCGTCTCCGGCTCGTCTCCCTCCTCGTTCCCCTCTTGTGACCCCTCCTCCGTCTCCTGACCCGACGCCTCCGTCTCACGTCTGGTCTCGCCGTCCCTCCCGTGCTCGCCCCGTCTCCCCTGTCCCGTGCTCTCACCCTATGTTGCTTCGTTCCCATGTGTCTCGTCCTCCCCTCCTACCGTCGCCTCCTCCGTCCTCCCTTGTTGTTGCGCCTCCCCCTATGTCTGACTACCTTCGTGCCGCTCGTCCTCTTGTCCCTCGAGTCCTTGCCTCTCTAGTTACGGACCCATCTGTTCCTGTTTCGCGCCTTGACGCTCTTGTAGCTCATGTCGCTGACTTCGCCTCTACCCGCCGTCTGGACTACGCCACCGCTTTGGTCTCTGACCCTGCCCGTCCTCTGTCCGTTGGGGGTGCTCCTGCCCTCGGCAGTGACGTCCTGGAGGACCGCCAGTACGAGCTTGCTTTCCTGTCCAAGGCTGCTCCCCATCTTTGTTCCATGCTTCTAGTCCCTGAGGGTGACCCAGACGCTTTGGACATCTTGACCCCTCGCACTAACGCTGAGGCGACCTCGGGACCTTGGGCCTCCCAGTGGATAGTTGCCATGGAGCAGGAGATGGCATCTTGGAGATCCACTGGCACCTACGTCGACGCAGTTCCCCCACCTGGGGTGAACGTAGTCGATGGTCGGTGGCTCTTCAAGGTGAAGCGCCCCCCTGGAGAGCCGCCTGTGTTCAAGGCGCGCTACGTGGCTAGAGGCTTCAGTCAGCGTGAGGGGGTGGACTTTTTTCAGACCTTCGCTCCGACCCCGAGGATGACTACTCTTCGAGCGATGCTACACGTAGCAGCACAGCGTGAATACGAGTTACACTCCCTCGACTTCTCCACTGCGTTTCTTCAGAGCAGCCTACACGAGCAGGTCTACCTGCGCCGTCCTCAGGGCTTCACTGGTACCTTCCCTCCTGGGACCCAGTGGCTCTTGCGGCGCCCAGTCTACGGCTTGCGCCAGGTGCCCCGTGAGTGGCACGACACGCTGCGTGCTACCCTTGCAGACCTGCAGGTCTTTCCGTCCTCTACAGACCCCTCGCTCTTCGTTCGTGCTGGCAAGACCCCGTTCTACATCCTCGTTTATGTAGACGACCTGGTCTTTGCCACTGCAGACACTGACGCGCTGGCCTTCGTAAAGACAGAGCTACTGAAGAGACACACCTGCACTGACCTAGGAGAACTGCGCCACTACCTTGGCCTGCAGATCTCCAGGGACAGAGCAGCGCGCACCATCACCCTCACCCAGTCACACTTGGTGCGCCAGGTCCTACAGAGGTTCGGTCTTCAGTTCTCCTTCGCACAGCCCACACCTCTTCCAGTAGATCACAGGCTCTCTGCTCCAGTTCCTGAGGAGTCCGCAGAGCCCAGTGGTCCTTACGCAGAGCTGGTGGGTTGCCTCATGTACCTGATGACTTGCACTCGCCCAGATCTCGCATACCCTCTCAGCATCCTGGCTCGCTTTGTGGCCACAGGCAGACACCGACCTCAGCACTGGTCTGCCGCTAAGAGGGTTTTGCGTTATCTCGTAAGTACATCGGGCATGGGGTTAGTGCTGGGAGGACGCAGGCTAGTGGTCCTTACTGGGCACACTGACGCTTCTTGGGCAGACGACGCCGAGACCCTCAGGTCCTCCCAGGGCTACTGCTTTAGCCTTGGTTCAGGTGCTGTCTTGTGGAGAGCTACCCGCTCCTCGTATGTTGCCCAGTCCAGCTGCGAGGCTGAGATCTACGCCGGTGCCATGGCGGCACAGGAGCTCCGCTGGCTGACCTTCTTGCTCACTGACTTAGGTGAGTGACCTAGCTCTGCCCCAGTCCTGTACGCTGACAACAGGGCCATGATCCTCCTATGTCAGAAGCCTCGACTTGAGGGCAGACCGAAGCATATCCAGCTGCGGTACTTCCTCCTGCGTGAGCTGCAGCAGCGTCGCCAGGCCCGCGTAGTACACTTAGCCTCCGGTGCCAACACAGCTGATATCTTTACGAAGGCGCTTGCGCCTGAAGATCATCAGCGGCACTGTGTATCGCTTGGTTTTGTTCCTGTAGCCTCTCATTTGCTAGGGCCTTGTTTGTGTACAGACCTTTATATATATATTACCCAGACTGGCCGCTCCCAGTGGCTGGACTAGTAGTGCCGCCCTGGCCTTGCTCTTGTCTTGTGTGTACTTTTTTACTGGTCTTTAGACCCTTGCCTCAGAGGCTGGACTAGTAGTGCCGCCCTGAGCTTCTTGTTCTCCTGTTAGGCACTGCCCCTATATAGTCTAGGGGGTGTGTCGAACATATCTCAGTATGTTAGTATAGACAATATAGGTTTGTGCCTTAAAGGGTACAACACACTTGCATATATTCCCTTGTACTGTCTCATGCTAATCATTCTTCAATTCTGATACAGACTACAACCTGAAGTACATTACAAAAATCATTATAAAAGCCAGCAAATCAGATGGGGAGCTCAATGTATCCTAGACTTTGTTATTGGCCTTCAAGTCAGCAGAGGATATGGAACCGCCTGCAACCAAGCCTGCAGCATCAGAGCCGTCTTCTGCATCCAGCTTCTTGTCCCAGGCGAAGCACAGCACTGTAGTGGCGACGCCTGTGGTGAGGACGTAGGAGAGAGCTACCATGGAAAGGAGAGACACTGCAAAGGCGGCCAAGAGTCCAACAATGGATATCAACAGTGCACCCAGCCCCAACCCCCCAGGACCCCCGAGAAACAACACCATCCAAACATAGGCCTGCACATAAAGCACGACAATGAAAAGTCACAGTTAGAGCTCAACTTCGTCACAAGTAATGTCATAGAGAGGGGAGTCATGATGCACGATGTTGGCACATACGCATGCATAAAAGCAGCAAGAGTGGGAGCATGCAGCAAGAGTGTACTCACCCCAAATAGGCCAATCAATGTGTTGATGAGGCACAAAGGAACCGTCACCATGACAAGCAGGGCGAGCGCGGAGGCATTAACCGCCACAATAGGCCCAGTGAAGCGCTGCAGAATGTCAAGCGAGAGGCGCACCGAGCGGGAGAATCCATGGCCGCTCATGGCGCAGGTGGGGAGCACAAGGCAGTGCAGGAAGAACTCAATGGCGACCTCCGCACAGCGCAGCAGCGCCACAAGCATGCAGCCAATCACGCCCTGGCCAAAGAGAGCGAAGGCGAGGGCGGAGAGGATAAGTTGGACGATGATGACGGCGGTGTCGGCAGTGGCAATGGCGCAGCAGGTGCCCAGGGAGGAGGTGCACGCGAGGGAGAAAGCCGAGCGGAAGAGCTCCAGCTGGCCCTTGACTGTCATGCGCTTCTCCCCTTCCCCCCCCAGCATGCCCTCACTGCCCCCGCTGCTGGTGCTGGTCGTGACGTACAGCCGCGCGTAGATCGCTGCTACGGAGTAGGTGAAGAGGGTTGCGAGCACTTTGAGGGCGAAGACGAAGAAGGGCGACAGGAGGATGGAGACAACGAGATGGCTGCTGAAATCTATCAAAGGGAGGGACAGGACCAGCCCTGCAAGCATAACGGGGAGCGCCATAAAGAGGATGATGGGGGCCTGGGCGATGGTGGCATGGGCGGTGTGCGCGACGGCAGAGGCGATGAGTGACAGGTGGTGGGTGAAGCGCAGCACGAGGAGCAGCGCGAGGGCGCTGAGGAGCGCAAAGGACATGAAACCGATGAAATAGAGAGGCCGCTCCAACTCCGCGAGCCTAGCCATCGAGGGCATGGCGGGCAGCTGTGGCGGGCCTTGCAGGGACCGCCCGCGCGCACTTGTCGCCACGACCGACGCGCGGCCCTGGAGCTGGCGATGCACCATGGAGTGGGTGGCGCGCGCCCAGTGGGCGGTGTGGTGCGCTGTAACTGCTACCACCGGGTGTGCGATGGCGGGCAGAACGAGCTCCAGGAGCCCCCTTCCAAGGTCGCTAACGGACGTGCTGCTGCTGCTGCTGCTGCTGCTGCTGTCCGCCTCTGCTGCGGCGTCGTCAGCGCTGCTCCCCGGCGATTCATACGGATCCTCCTGCCCCTCCACCCATCCCTCCGGTGCCCCTCCCGTGCCCCCCTCCGTGCCCCCCTCCGTGACCCCCTCTCCCGCCATCATGTCACCGCCACCGCCCCCCATCGTGTCGCCGTTCTCCCCGTCCGCGCTCTCAGCGAAGTTGCTGTCCACAGGGAACTCACTCGACGACCCATCGCTGCCAGTGGAATAAGAGCTCATGCTGCCTGGGGAATACGGCGCGTACGTTGGGTACGGACCTTGCTCCGCAACTGACGGCGCGAGCGGCGACACAAGGAAGTGCACGGCGGAGGTGGCGCTTTGCAGCGCGCAAATCACGGCGGCGATGATTAAGAACACCTTGATGGTGCGCGCACACGTTCCGCGGAGAGAAGAGACGAGGAGCAGCGGGAAGGGGAGGCTGAGCGCGAAGAGGAGGAGGAGGACGAGCGGGGTGAGGAGGAAGGTGAAGAGGAGTGGGGGGTTGAAGAGCGCGCCGACGAGGGAGAGCGCGCCCATGGCGACGAGCAGCACGAGCGGCACGAGGAACACGAAGCGCCATCCCGCGTCACGCACGGGGCGCTCGTGGAAGTTGAAAATGGCGGACGACTGGTCGAACTCGTTCCAGCCGCCGCCGGATGTTGCGTCTATGTCTTCCGTCCCTTTCCCTCCCTCCTTTTCTGGCGTTTTCAGTGGACGGAAGTCGGCGTCCGACACGAGCTTCTCTGCGACGGTGACCTTGACGTCGTCGCCGTCGTGCGACGAGTGCTCCGGCGAGTGTTGGGACGGAGGTGAATACGACCCTTCAGGCTCAGATGGCGTACTCGTTAGTGGAATCCGTTCACTCATTTTGTATGACTGAAAATGGGACTGATTATGGCGGGACAAACGAGGCTAATGGAAAATATTAAAATACAATCAATGCCAAGAACTCGATTATGAGCGGAGATTGCGGGATGTAGTGAAGTAGGAACTGTCCGTGCCTCGCCTTATGTAGGTAGTGTCAGTAAGACTCGCAGTGAATGGTAGCGTCAGAAAGACTCGCAGAGGAGGTTAGCCGGAATGGGTAGTTGCGAAGGCAGGAAAAAACGTGGGGAGGAAGGGATAGGGAGTCTCGGAAGGAAGGGGGCATTCCCCGCGGGCGAGGAGAAAGGGGCAGCAGGCATGGCGGGGCGGGGGAGTTGGGAATCCGAGAGCGGGGATTGGTGGGACGGGCGGAGGGGAAGTGGGGCGAAAGCTGAGGGTTCACAAAGCTTACGGGGACGATTTTCGTGGATGACGGGGACAAAGCTCGCCATCTCCATGGCTACTTCGCATGACTGTGCTGATAGCTTCGCGATGAAGGTGATGCGATGTTGCCCTAAACCCTCAATTCGCACAGCCAGTGGGAACCGGCTGACTCGAAGGAACACGCAAGGGGGAAGAGCTGGACTGCTGTTGACCAGGGAAGACTGCATATATGTCCAAACTTCTAATATCTTTTATTATTCTTATCTCATATAGGTAAGTGCGCTAAAAGATATTCTTCCATGACGATATGCTAGGAAAATTTGATTAAAATGAATATTACACGTTTTTATAGTATAAGAATAGTGGTTTAAATCATAAGGAACAATAATCTATGCAGGAGTCATCAGGAACAAAAGTTTTGTTTCCATAGCATCTTCCTTCACCGTTCACTAGCTTTCTATCTTCTTGTATTGTGAGTGAACAACTAGTTTTTAGTGCAATCTATAACCCTTCAATCGTACAGTATAAAGGGTTCGGCCGACTTGCTGTTGCCAGCTGGCTTTCTCTTCTGACCGAGTTCTTCTGCGTGTACGTCCTGATTTTGATTTCCTGTAAGTGCCGAATTCTGTCACTAACTTGCAGTTGTTGGCGTGGGTGTCCCTGGTGAAGCCACAGCTTCTTTGCCAGGGCTTCTAAAATCACATCCAAGACCCAGCTCGGATCAGGCAGCAAATAGCCTGGAGATGGCAGAAGCAGGGCAGCCCCCATGGAGCACCTTGAAAGCAAACCTGCATTACACAGCGTGGATGTTCGGTCAAAAGATCGCAGCCGTTGCTCGCGACTGCCCACCAGCTCACCGCTGACGAGTGCCGATTTGCTGAGAGGATTCGCTCCCTCACATCTCCATCCCCAATCACGTGCTTCACCGTCGTAAATCGCACTCAGCAGCAGAGCGGACATTTTTCGCAAGTGGTATATGTTCCCGCGGGAGCCGTTCAGTGTGATCTCTTGTGCAGCAAACAACCAACCAACCACGCCAACCCCTTTCCCGGCCACCTTCGCCCAGCCAGCTTGTGCCTCTTGTCCCCCCCATCGATCCCTCTCTCTCTCTCTCTCTCTCTCTACCCTCTGCCAATGTGGCTCCCCACTGCCCTCTGCTCTGCTCTCTTCTTTCTCCTCGGAACTCATGAAACCCCAAGTTTCACACCCATGTCCTTCACTATTTTAGCTGCTGGAATCTTATCTTACTCATCATACACCTAGGTCTGAGTGACTTCACTCCATCGCCATCACATCAGCTCAGTACACTGTGAAAGCAGTATTTCTTTTGCAAGCTGACTTATACCTTGTCGCCTAGGTATTAGATACTCAGCAGTCATGTTTCGGTTTCTCGCTAAAGACCGCTCACACCGGCAGCGGCTAGAGCTCCACAAGGCGATGGCAACCATTGCTTCGCCAGAGGAGCCCGAGGCTCCCGCTCCAATGGAAGAAGACATCCCGTCGCCAGCCGCCATGCCTCGGCGGAAGTCCGTTCAACTGGAGGAGCTCGAGCGGCCGTCTCACCGGCGTAACGCGGCTGCCGGCCACCAGCACACCACTGTGCAGGAGGAGCAAGGCGGCCCGTCCGGCAACGACCTAGCAGGGATGTACGCGCCTCACAACGACCCGTCTCGCCGACGCAGCTCCCTGGATTGCATCCGTTCCGCGCGTCGTTCCGGCGCTTCTCTGCCACGCGCTAACGGCCCGTTTGGTGCTGCTGATGAGAGCAGCGTTCAGGCGCGGCCAGACGCCGCTTATAGCCAACAACGGAGTTCGGATAGCGAGGATGAAGTGAGCAGCGGGCCTGGCGGGGAGGTTCAGTCTCGGTCGGCGAGACGGCACCAGCAGAGCAAGCTTGCGCAACAAGCACAACAACAGTCGCGGCGCAACCCGTTCGATTACGAGATGGACGACGCGCAATTAGTCCCGGGGCATGGCTATACGGCAGGGGGTAATGGCCGCGGCGATACAGCGGCGGGGAACGCCCGGTATTATGCGGGTGGGTGCGGTCGCATGGCTGCTGCTGAGGGCCCGTCTTCTCAGTTCGATAACAGGTTCTGCGACATGACAGGATGGGGAGGCATGGACCAGGCCATGCACCCTGCTGGGCTGATGCAAGCCCGTGCTGCCATGGTGGCTCAAGGTCGCTCTAATATCAACCAGGGGAATACCTTCCCGGATATGATGTGATGTGACTATTCCTCTGGACGCTGGTGTGTTCCTATGCTTTGTGCGTGGATTGTAGTGCAGAAATGTCCATCTTGGGGGAAGTTAAAGCGTGGTTTGACATGCTGTCTCTAGTTTTTATTTCCCCCACTTTTTGGTGCCGGATAGTTATGGGACCAGGGAACTTTAATTGTTGAAATGGCACCTGTAAATGAGACGTTTTCTACAAATGATGGCAACATTTCCTTTTCTTGTAGCTTAGCTCACGATTTGCCTGAAGTACTGCTGCAGATGTTCCAATCTCTCAAAACTGCACCGCCTCTCCCCACCAGCACAGCCCACTCAATCTGTAGGGTTATTATGTGCTGGATGACAACTATTGCTGGCATATCGCCCCTGCCTCCTGCCACTCGGCCGTTAGCCCAGCGCGATAGCTTTTGACTTTCTGCGCACGCGCTCGGATGCGAGCACCATTCTGCAGCACTCTGCTCGCAATTACCCAGTAGCGCGCGTCTGCTGTAGGAACGAGGTACACCGTAATATAGCTCCGAAGCGTAATTGCCGAACGTTCCTAAGCTGGCCTAAGTTTGGCCCACTCCTCTAGGGTTGGCAGACCCAGCTCAAGCCGCTGTTATTCGCGCGTTGCCGCTGTTTTGAGTGCGAATCGCCGGTCCCCTCTGAGTCTCCAGTCTCCTCCGCCACGAAACTGGCCAACTGCGAGGCGAGGTGAGGGGAAGGAGAACTCGTAGCGGTATCGTTCGCGGGAGGCGCGTTGTTTATTCGACGCGCGGCTCGTGGCGTGGCGCGGGGCGAAAGGCGAGTGGGTCCGGCCGCCGGGGGTGGTGAGACGAGGGGGCGCGGATGAAGCGGAGGCAGGGCGGGAGGGAAGGCGGGGAGGGCGGGACTGGCGACGAGGGTGGGAGCGGAGAGGCGGGTAAGCGGCGCAAGGGGCGCGCGGATGATTGGGACAACCACTTGGCAGAAGGTGCTGAAGGGCCTCGCAAGAAAGGCGGCGGGAAGGTCACGAGGGGAGGGAAGCGGGAGAAGGACGTGGACGAGGTGAGGGAGAGTGGGGGAGGAGGCGGAAGAAAAGGGAGGGGAGCGACGGGCGCAGGGGAAGATATGGCGGCGGGGAGAGAAACGGCGGCGGGGAAAGCAGCAGGCACAGGTCGGAATGGGGGGTGTTTAGGAGGGGAAGACGGGGCTGAGGGCAGGAGGAAAGCAAAGAGGGGCAAGAATCAGAAGGCGGTTTGGCATGGCATGTGGCGGCGATGCTCCATTGCTGTGCGGCGGGCGCGGAGCGTGTGGATGAAGAAACGGTGGCGGCAGGAGAGGCTGAGAGGGGTGCAGAGAGATGCGGAGGGCGAGGCAGAGGGAGAGGCAGCGACAGAGACAGATGCAGAGGCAGAAGCTGAGGCAGAGTTCAATGCGGAGGCAGAGGGTAAGGAGAAAAGGGTGGTGGAGAACGAAACACGGAGGAGTACGAGAGGGGGGGGCAAGAGGCGGAGAGAGCAAGGGGATGAAGGAGGTGCTGGGGGGTTGAGCGGGGGGGACAGGGGCAGGGGAGTGGGGAGAGGGAGGGGGCGGGGAGAGATGAAGAGGCAGCAGGAGGAACGGGAGTGGAGTGCGGAGGACGAGGAGGAATGGGCGGACGAATGGAGTAGCGATGAGTCTGAGAGCTGGTCCTGTGATGATGGGGATGAGGAGGAAGAGGAGGAGGAGGAGGAGGAGGAGGAGGAGGAGGAGGAGGAGGAGGAGGAAAAAGGTGAGGATGAGGAGGAAGAGGAAGAGATGATGGTCGAACCAGACAAGGGAGAGTGGGAGGAAGAAGAGGCGGACGAGCATGATGTTTGGGAGGTCAGGAGAGCAGCCGATGCAGGCGAGGAGAGCAGGGGGGAGCGGAGCGAAGAGGGAAGAGGGGAGGACGAGAAAGAGAAGGTGGGGGAGGAAGGTGGAGGAGAGGAGAGGCAGGAGGAGCGGGGCAAGGACCGAGAGGAGGACTGCCATGCTGCCACATCCTCGCCACAGTCAAGCATCCCTGCTCCGATAACTCCCAACCGCACCTCCGGTAGAAACTTCTAATCCCCTCTCCCTATGCTCCACCCCCCCGTTTCTCATAATCATTCCGCCACTTCCAACATGCCAACCCGTTTCCCCACACTCCGGCCCTTGCTGCTTCTGCTCAACCTCCACTTTACTTCTTCCTCGTAGTGAATGTTGCTCATCCTGTCATCACTGCTTCTTCTTGCAATGCCTTAACTGCAGACTCTCTTTCTCCCTCTCACCAAACGTGCTGAGCTTCATTCTCACACTCACTTTCTCCTGCACCTCATGCCCGCCCAGGCAATGCTCGCGGTAGAGGGGCCGCTCGTGTGAGCCCTGCGCCAGTTGAGCGTGTCACCACCATGGATGCGGAACGTGCAGATGCGGTTGCAGCAGCGGAGAACGTGGGTGCTGGAGCAGGCTCAGGGAAGAAAGATTGCGGCGGAGTGGGAGAGAGGGTTGGGCCGAAGCGGCGTTCGACTCGAGGGATCACTCGGGAGGAGAAGTTTCAAGTGCGAGCGGTGGCCACTTATGGGCTGGTGGATGTGATGGCCTGTGGGGCTGCTGCAATCGACCTCCAGGAAGATTTTGCGGCGGCTACTGCGAGGCACATGGCAGAAATTGTGCCCCTGGGGGAATTGGAGCAACACTTGAAGGGCGAAGTCGAGAGGATAAGTGAGAAGCAAAGGCGGAACACTCAGAAAATGGCAAATGAGCTGAAAGGGGCATATGCACAGTGTGAGGAAATTGTGGAGATGACTATAAGGAAGGTGGAAAACGGGGAAAGATAATGCTCTGCTATGGGACTGCGGTGTATTTTTAGGCTAATTAGTTGCTGCGACTGAGCAGCTCCAAACGGAGCATCCTTTGCAAACTGTGCACCAAAGTCAAGCAATCGCAAAGCCACACGTGGCTAAAAAGCCAATGCGGCGGCACTTTCACGGCGCACATCGATGTCATTTCTCCGCCCCGCCAGCCCTCCACATTCCCCCCATCTCTGTCCCCCGCGCGCCCCATTTTCTCCTCGAGATCGCATGGCTGCCGCATCGACGGCTGAGATGCGCTCGACACTCTTCACGCATCCACGGAGCACTTGCTCGATTCCACCTGACCTGACCTGCCCATCCATGGCGGCTTGGCGGCCAAGTGACTGACCTTTGATAACATAGGTCATTGGGATCAGCCGAGGATTTCCCCTTGGGATTTGAGCATTTCAAGACCTCCAGTCTTGCACTCACAGCCCACTGGACGTCTAGAGCAGAGCCTACTAGTCTCGCACACCCTTCACGGATGCACGGGTTCGCAGGCCCCTCGTCCCCCGAGAGTCCGCCGCTTGTCCGCGTGTCTGTCGCAGCCGCTGAGACTCCGCCGCTTGTGCGGCAGCGGGCAAGAGCTCGCTCTCTTATGGTAGACTCGTTAGCGTCGCCGCTCCTAGGCCCATGCGCTAGCGACGCTCTTTTCAGCGAAGGAAAGGTAAATTCAATTTCAGGCATGGGCTGAGGTCGCGGTGAGGGTTGCTCGGGGGCACAGTTGCGGTGACGGTTGCTGCGCGAACCTAATTCCTCTGTTCCTCTGCCAGGCGTCAGTGCGTCGCGAGCCACCAGCCATGGGGTCGCAACTGTCGGAGGAGAAGCAGCGGCTCACGGCGGGAGTGCCGCTCTCGCACGAGGTACGCGCGCCATCTCGCCGCGCAATCCGACCGCATAGTCGCTTTCAGCAGTCCCTGATCCCTTTAGACGACCTAAATTCACCAGATTTGCGAATAAGCTGGATGAATAAGATTTTATACATGGGACAATTAACTGCTCCGCCCCGTTCGTGCGACCTAATTTCGCCAGATTTGCTCTCCGTGTTCCCTGAATTGTTACTAAGCTGCTCCTCCTCCCCGTTGTTGCGCGGCGGCATGCGCGCGGCAGGACGTGGCGCACGAGCAGTTCGAGAAGAGCCACGGGCCGCACGGCAAGAAGCTGACGCTGCTGCCGCTCATCGCGCTCATCTTCTTCGAGGTCAGCCGGGCTGATTCTGTTGGGCGGGAGGGGTTGTTCGTCGCGTGATGGGAGAGGCTAGGTATGGCGCTGCTGCCAGGCCAGTGGGGGCTGATGTCGTCGGGGCACGTCCTGGTGGGCTCGATCAGTGGCGCTAGGGGCGAGGGTACGCTTGAATGCATGGGCAGGTGGTGACGAGGCTGAAGGAACGGGTGCTGCTTTCCGTCCGTCTCTTTTGTATTCTTGTGTTTCGCTCCGTGCAGGTGTCTGGCGGGCCATACGGCGTGGAGGACGCAGTGAAGTACGGCGGACCGCTGCTCGCCATCCTCGGCTTCACCGTCTTCCCTCTTGTGAGCGCTGCTCCTTGCACCACGCACTCCGCATCTCCCCCTCGCCATTCTCCTCGCCCTACTCCTCATACTGCGCTCTCATCTCTGGGCTCATCAGATCCAACTCCGCGCATCACACGCCACACCTCTCGTCTCGTCCCCACACACCACACTCCATCCATCTGCCTCCTCTGCTCACTCCCATTCCTCAACCCCTCCCCACCCTCCTCCTCCCCCTCCTCCCCCCCCTCCCCCCCCCACGCAGATTTGGAGTGTGCCTGAGGCGCTCACAACAGCGGAGCTGGGAACAGCCTTTCCTGAGAACGGCGGCTACGTGGTGTGGGTGTCGGCGGCGTTCGGCCCCTTCTGGGGCTTCCAGGAGGGGTGGTGGAAGTGGCTGAGCGGGGTCATCGACAACTCGCTGTACCCGCTGCTCTTCCTCGACTACCTCAAGCGCGAGGTCCCCATGTTCGAGAGCGGCCTCCCGCGCATGGCGGCGCTGCTCGCCATGACACTCGTGGGTTGGGTTCCTTCGGTTCGGTTCGGTTCACTTCGGTTCGGTTCGGTTCGGTTCGGTTCGGTTCGGTTCGGTTCGTTCCATCAAGCATGCATTGGGGCGTTGGGAGGTTCTGCTGTCTGTCCGTCCTTTCCTCTGATGTCTCTCTACCATCCATTTCTTTCCTCTGATGTCTCTCTACCATCCATTTCTTTCCTCTGATGTCTCTCTACCATCCATTTCTTTCCTCTCATGTCTCTCTACCATCCATTTCTTTCCTCTCATGTCTCTCTACCATCCATTTCTTTCCTCTCATGTCTCTCTACCATCCATTTCTTTCCTCTCATGTCTCTCTACCATCCATTTCTTTCCTCTCATGTCTCTCTACCATCCATTTCTTTCCTCTCATGTCTCTCTACCATCCATTTCTTTCCTCTCATGTCTCTCTACCATCCATTTCTTTCCTCTCATGTCTCTCTACCATCCATTTCTTTCCTCTCATGTCTCTCTACCATCCATTTCTTTCCTCTCATGTCTCTCTACCATCCATTTCTTTCCTCTCATGTCTCTCTACCATCCATTTCTTTCCTCTCATGTCTCTCTACCATCCATTTCTTTCCTCTGATGTCTCTCTACCATCCATTTCTTTCCTCTCATGTCTCTCTACCATCCATTTCTTTCCTCTCATGTCTCTCTACCATCCATTTCTTTCCTCTCATGTCTCTCTACCATCCATTTCTTTCCTCTCATGTCTCTCTACCATCCATTTCTTTCCTCTCATGTCTCTCTACCATCCATTTCTTTCCTCTCATGTCTCTCTACCATCCATTTCTTTCCTCTGATGTCTCTCTACCATCCATTTCTTTCCTCTCATGTCTCTCTACCATCCATTTCTTTCCTCTCATGTCTCTCTACCATCCATTTCTTTCCTCTCATGTCTCTCTACCATCCATTTCTTTCCTCTGATGTCTCTCTACCATCCATTTTTTTTTTTTTCCATTTCTTTCCTCTCATGTCTCTCTACCATCCATTTCTTTCCTCTCATGTCTCTCTACCATCCATTTCTTTCCTCTCATGTCTCTCTACCATCCATTTCTTTCCTCTCATGTCTCTCTACCATCCATTTCTTTCCTCTCATGTCTCTCTACCATCCATTTCTTTCCTCTCATGTCTCTCTACCATCCATTTCTTTCCTCTCATGTCTCTCTACCATCCATTTCTTTCCTCTCATGTCTCTCTACCATCCATTTCTTTCCTCTCATGTCTCTCTACCATCCATTTCTTTCCTCTCATGTCTCTCTACCATCCATTTCTTTCCTCTCATGTCTCTCTACCATCCATTTCTTTCCTCTCATGTCTCTCTACCATCCATTTCTTTCCTCTCATGTCTCTCTACCATCCATTTCTTTCCTCTCATGTCTCTCTACCATCCATTTCTTTCCTCTCATGTCTCTCTACCATCCATTTCTTTCCTCTCATGTCTCTCTACCATCCATTTCTTTCCTCTCATGTCTCTCTACCATCCATTTCTTTCCTCTCATGTCTCTCTACCATCCATTTCTTTCCTCTCATGTCTCTCTACCATCCATTTCTTTCCTCTCATGTCTCTCTACCATCCATTTCTTTCCTCTCATGTCTCTCTACCATCCATTTCTTTCCTCTCATGTCTCTCTACCATCCATTTCTTTCCTCTCATGTCTCTCTACCATCCATTTCTTTCCTCTCATGTCTCTCTACCATCCATTTCTTTCTCTCTCATTTCTCTTTTTCTACCATCCATTTCTTTCCTCTCATGTCTCTCTACCATCCATTTCTTTCCTCTCATGTCTCTCTACCATCCATTTCTTTCCTCTCATGTCTCTCTACCATCCATTTCTTTCCTCTCATGTCTCTCTACCATCCATTTCTTTCCTCTCATGTCTCTCTACCATCCATTTCTTTCCTCTCATGTCTCTCTACCATCCATTTCTTTCCTCTCATGTCTCTCTACCATCCATTTCTTTCCTCTCATGTCTCTCTACCATCCATTTCTTTCCTCTCATGTCTCTCTACCATCCATTTCTTTCCTCTCATGTCTCTCTACCATCCATTTCTTTCCTCTCATGTCTCTCTACCATCCATTTCTTTCCTCTCATGTCTCTCTACCATCCATTTCTTTCCTCTCATGTCTCTCTACCATCCATTTCTTTCCTCTGATGTCTCTCTACCATCCATTTCTTTCCTCTCATGTCTCTCTACCATCCATTTCTTTCCTCTCATGTCTCTCTACCATCCATTTCTTTCCTCTCATGTCTCTCTACCATCCATTTCTTTCCTCTCATGTCTCTCTACCATCCATTTCTTTCCTCTCATGTCTCTCTACCATCCATTTCTTTCCTCTCATGTCTCTCTACCATCCATTTCTTTCCTCTCATGTCTCTCTACCATCCATTTCTTTCCTCTCATGTCTCTCTACCATCCATTTCTTTCCTCTCATGTCTCTCTACCATCCATTTCTTTCCTCTCATGTCTCTCTACCATCCATTTCTTTCCTCTCATGTCTCTCTACCATCCATTTCTTTCCTCTGATGTCTCTCTACCATCCATTTCTTTCCTCTCATGTCTCTCTACCATCCATTTCTTTCCTCTCATGTCTCTCTACCATCCATTTCTTTCCTCTCATGTCTCTCTACCATCCATTTCTTTCCTCTCATGTCTCTCTACCATCCATTTCTTTCCTCTCATGTCTCTCTACCATCCATTTCTTTCCTCTCATGTCTCTCTACCATCCATTTCTTTCCTCTCATGTCTCTCTACCATCCATTTCTTTCCTCTCATGTCTCTCTACCATCCATTTCTTTCCTCTCATGTCTCTCTACCATCCATTTCTTTCCTCTCATGTCTCTCTACCATCCATTTCTTTCCTCTCATGTCTCTCTACCATCCATTTCTTTCCTCTCATGTCTCTCTACCATCCATTTCTCTCTCACTTTGGCATCCCTCTCTCTTCCTGCCGACACACCGACACTAAAGCTGGCTTCAACCCTTCCCCTGCTATGCGCCCCACCCAACCGCCAGCTGCTAACGTACATCAACTACAGGGGTCTGACCATAGTGGGCGCGGCGGCCATCGCGCTGGCAGTCTTCGGGCTGCTGCCCTTCGTGGTGATGGCGCTGCTCGCCATCCCCAAGATCCAACCCGCGCGCTGGTCAGTGCCCCGCGGTTCATCTGTTCATGCATCAATGCATCACAATGGGCCGCGGGTGCCATTCCTCACATTCTCAACGTGCCTCACGTATAAGCCTTCCCACAAGCATTTTCCAGCTGGCGTTGAATCTCCAGTTATGCTGTTGCGTGGCATGGCATGTGTTGGCATGGCATGTGGTGGTATGGCATGGCATGTGGTGGTATGGCACGTGGCGGCATGGCATGGCAGGTTGGTGGTGGATCTGAACCGCGTGCACTGGCGGGGCTACTTCAACACGCTCTTCTGGAACCTCAACTACTGGGACTCTGTCAGGTGCGCCCCACTGCTGGCACTCCGTCAGGTGCGCCCCACTGCTGGCACTCCGTCAGGTGCGCCCAGCCCACCATCAAACATGCACGCCTGAAAGCCGTCACAGTTCTTTTCCTCCGCATTTCTGTAAAGTTCACCTTCCCATTCCAATTTGTCGCCTTTTTTTTCTCCTGATCATGTGCCTTTCTCCCTGTAACTGCCATGCATGTCTCTCCCCCCCCCCCGCCCCCCTGCCAGCACGCTTGCGGGGGAGATAGAGGAGCCCAAGCGCACGTTCCCGCGGGCGCTCATGGGGGCGGTGGTGCTGGTCGTGGTCAGCTACCTCGTGCCGCTGCTGGCGGGCACGGGCGCCATGCCCTTCTCGCCTGAGGGGTGGGATGATGGGTACCTCGCCGTGGTGGGCCGCGCTATTGGCGGCGGGTGGTTGGCGTGGTGGATCGCGTGCGCTGCGGCGCTCTCCAACATGGGCGCGTTTGAGGCCGAGATGAGCAGGTGCGCAAATGTGTGGGTGTCTCGCTGTGGCTTGAGGCCACTGCATCATCCCAGCACCACCAACATTCCGTTCTTTGTTTCCCCAGCCACTCCCCTCAACGTGCACACCACTCTCCCCTCACACTTCCATGCTGATGCACCAACACTCTTCCATTTCCCACCTCCCAACCCCCCTATCCCCCCACCTCCCCTCGCGGGCACAGCGACGCGTTCCAGCTGCTGGGCATGGCGGAGCGGGGGATGCTGCCGGAGGTGTTCACGTACCGGTCGCGGCACGGCACGCCCGTGCTGGGCATCGTGTGCAGCGCCACAGGCATCGTGCTGCTGTCGTGGATGAGCTTCCAGCAGATCGTCGAGTTCCTCAACTTCCTCTACTGCTTCGGCATGCTGCTCGAGTTTGCCGCCTTCATTGCGCTGCGAGTCACGCAGCCCGAGCTGAATCGGCCCTACAGGTACGCATCAGTGGTCCCGATCGCATTGCTTCAATCAAGCTGGGCTGACAAGCTTTCTGTCCGCTTTTTCCATCGGAATGTGGCCGGCAATTGATGCAGCAGCTGATGCACATTCCAATGACGATGAATGTTCCCTCTTCTTCATCCACATTCTATCCATGCCCCCGTGGTACCACGTACCTGCTGTGCGTCAATCCTCAGGATCCCGGTGGACACCATGGGGGCTGCGCTGCTGTGCCTGCCGCCCTCCCTGCTGCTCATCCTCGTCATGGCCCTCGCCTCCCGGCAGACCGTCATTGCCAGGTGAGGAGTTGCCCGTTGAGAGGTGCACAGTCGCCATGCTCAGCTGCACGTTTATGGCTCCCAGGTGCCACCCCATTCCTCCCTGGCACAAGCTTCTCGCACTGCTTCAAGCTCATCTTAATCTCACTCCCTTTGGTTAGGTCCCAGCAACTCACCCACTGCCTTCTTGCCCCTGCTTTCCGTCATTATTCTCCCCCTTCCTCCTTGCAGCTCCATAATGGCGTCCGTGGGGCTGCTGCTGTATCCCCTCCTGATGTGGGCGAAGCACCACGGCGTGCTCAAGTTCACGCAGGACCCGGGCCTGCCGGACGTGGCCCTTATGGAGGAGGAGGAGGGAAAAGAGGGTGAGGAGGGCTTTGATGGGGCGGCAACGAAGGGAGGGTATGGGAAGGTGGATGGTGGGGTTGGTGGTGTGGAAGGGGAGAATGGGACCATGGCTGACAGTGAGAACGGGCTGCTGCTGGGGAAGGGGCAGAGGGAGAAGGGCAGCAGCAAAGTGGTGCCGGTTGAGAGCCCAGTGGAGCCGCAGGGGCTGCTGCAAGCAACTGCACGTGATGCTCCACTCTCTGCATGTGAGGGGCAGTCGCCGCCTGTCATGGTTGGCTCACTGCCAAGTGATGGTCTGTTTGCCCAAGGGGTGCTGTCAGCGGAGAGGTTGGGAGCTGGAGCAAATGCAAGTCATGCGCTACAACCCAAGGTTGGCTGTGCGGCAGATTCAAAATCAGATTATGGGATTTTGCTGGGAGACTCAAGTGGTTGCAGATAGCATATCCTTTATGCGATTGTTTCATCCAACGCCAATCCCACCTTGTATTAAAATTTCATTTTGTATACATCTCATTCACATATCATATGTGTTGGGCTGAGAAAAGCCCTTAGGATCTTTTCAGAGACTAAGTCCCAGTTGAAGAATGAAACTTGAGTAGTGCAGCGGAAGTTGAGTAGTTGAACCCTTGTACTAGTATATGAGAACAAGTGATTGATTAAAGAAACAAGCATACAGCAATATATAGAAAATAAGAAAGCAGTTGCAGAATACAGTTGCAGGAGCGGTTATCGAGTCGCACAGCGACTCGATTGTCGCTTCGGTTACCATCCGCGCTGTTGTAACGGTCAGTCGCAACCTCCAGTTGCGACCCTTCGAATCCCTTCGCGTTCTTTGTTCGCCCCCTCGTGTAACCTCCGTTGACTCGCGTACCCGTTGTGATCTTCCTCGAGTGTAGTATTACACTTCAGAAACGCTTAAGTCCTTTGAGATATTTCCAACACTCCCCTTCGTTTCTGGAGTGCTGACGTGTTCAGATCCGGTGACGTTTGTCTGCCCGGTCAGCAGCATGCAGTAATCGAACTTCGCCTTCGCCAGTTTCTCTTAGAAACTTAGGACTCAAGGTTCTTAAACTTAGGAGGCTAGGTTGGCTAGAATACTAGGAAGAAGGCCGCCATGGAATGGCGTGAGGAAAACGGATCTAGGAAGGGAGAGAATGTCGAGAAGAAAGGTGGTTGGATTAGGAAGAGAGGGGAGTACAAGGAGGGGTTTGTACCCCCTACAGAAAGGTTCAGTAACAACCTACCAAGCCTATATTAAATTATAACTTATATAATTTTAACACACCCCCTAGGCTTGGTAGTATCAAGCCCACGCACACCCCCACACCCACACCCACACCCACACCCCCTAGCCCAGCACCCCCATTCCCAGCAGGAGCCGCAACGACTCCGGAAGAGGGTAGGTCTCACGGCCCCTTGAGACGGCAATGGCGGCAGCAGCGACAGTAACGACGGCGGCGGCGGCGGTGTGCGGCGGCTCCAGGCCTGCGGCAACAGCGGCGGCACCGGCGGCTCGAACGACAGAGGCTGGTGCGGCGGCCCCCGCCCTCTCGGCGGCATGTCCTGTCTCCTCGGCGGTGGAGAGGTCCCTCACATGGCAGTCATCGGCTGCAGCAAGAAAGGGGGGGATGCAGGGGAAGCAGGTGCAGGTGGGGGGGGGGGGGAGGGGGCGGGGCGAGGCGAGTCTTCAGCGACGCGCCATAAATGGCGCGGCGCTTACTGGCGGGAGGACGTCGTCCTGAGGGACGCCCGTCTGTGGCGAGCGGGCGGCAGGCCCGGCGACGCCACAGACGTCGCTCGGCCGGCCGCAGCCCGACGATGCCGTCGGCTGCCGCAGACGCCGCCACAGCGCACCGTCGATGTCGCAGCGACGAGGCGGACGGGCGACGGCTGCACCAAGGGGCCGTCGCGACACCTTGGCGCCGCGACGGTAGGCAACGAGGGACCGTCGCGACATCTTGGTGCCGCGACGGCAGGCAACAAGGGGCCGTCGCGACATCCTGGCGCCGCGACGGCAGGCAACAAGGGGCCGTCGCGACAACTTAGTGCCGCGACGGCAGGCAGGCAGAAAACCGTGAAGGCTGCGAATGCAGTAGGAGTACGCAACGGGAACGTAGGGAGAGGGTCCGGTGGACACGACCGGCTCTGATACCATCTTAGAAACTTAGGACTCAAGGTTCTTAAACTTAGGAGGCTAGGTTGGCTAGAATACTAGGAAGAAGGCCGCCATGGAATGGCGTGAGGAAAACTGATCTAGGAAGGGAGAGAATGTCGAGAAGAAAGGTGGTTGGATTAGGAAGAGAGGGGAGTACAAGGAGGGGTTTGTACCCTCTACAGAAAGGTTCAGTAACAACCTACCAAGCCTATATTAAATTATAACTTATATAATTTTAACAGTTTCTTCGTCAAGTAGTCTGCGGCCATTTCTGTTGTAGGGCAGTAACTGAGTTGAAGTCTCCCCTTCGCGATTTCATCTTTGACGAAAAAGTACCGCAGGGCAATGTGTTTGGTTCGGTTGGCGAAGCCGTCCTTGTTCGCAATTTTTATCGCAGATTGGTTGTCGCAGAGGAGTGAGAAGACGGGCAGGGTCGCGATCTTTGCTTCCTCGAGCAGCTCTCGTAGGTAGAGTCCTTCCTTGGTCGCAGTACAAAGGGCGATATATTCTGCTTCAGCCGAAGATAGTGCGATTAGTTCCTGCTTGCTCGACTGCCAGGAGATAGTCCCGATAGGTTCTAGTCGGTAGATGTAGCCCGTTCTCGATCGTCGGTTTTCCCTGTCTCCCGCGTGGTTGGCGTCGACGTATCCGAGTAGTCGTACGGACGGTGTCGTTACTTTGCTGTAGGTGAGCCCGGTGGTCGGCGTGGAGACGAAGTAGTGTAGTGCCCGATTAAGTTCCTCGAGATCTTCTTGTTCCGGCTGCTTCAGATGCGTCGCCAGTTGGCTCGCGCTGTAAGAGAGATCGGGTCGGCAGGTTACTGCTGCGAATAGTAGGCAGCCGAGCTTCTATTGATACTCCTGGATTTGCTTCGCGGGGAGTTTTGCGGAGGTGCTGTTGTTGTTCCCGTAGCGGTAGGGAGTCGGGACCGTAGTCGGCGTTAGACCGAATTTCTTCGCGACAGTGCCTGCGTACTTTCCAGCGTGTAGGTAGAGCGCCGAGTTGTCTTCGACGACATTCAGTCCCAGGTACTGGGTCACTGTGTCGGACACCGTGAGTGTCAGGTCCTCTTTCAGCTCCCCTTCGAACCAGGTGGCGATGTTGGTAGTGGAACTGATGTAGAGCAGGTCGTCGACGTAAACGATGAGTAGGATATATTCTCTTCCTTGTTGCAGTCGGTACATGCCTTGATCATGCGGCAGCTGTAGGAATCCGATTTTTACGAGGCGACCGTGAAGATGCTGCTGCGAGAGTCGAGGGGCTTGCTTAATCCCGTATAGGGATTTTATCAGTTGGCATACTTTCGTGGGGTCGTCGATGAATCCGTGGGGTTGCTCGACGAAGATCTCGGCGTCCACAGGTGCGTACAGGAAGGCATTTGCGACGTCGATTTGGCGCAGTGGTAGTTTTTTCGTGGCCGCGACGGCGAGTAGGATGCGCAATGAGGTGTGACGGGAGACTGGGGCAAATGTTTCTGTGTAGTCGGTTCCGTATCGTTGATCGAACCCTCGTACGACCCATCGAGCTTTGAATCGTTCGGTGGAACCGTCCGCATTGGTTTTGATGCGGTACACCCATTTTCCCGAGAGGACGTTCTTCCCGTTCATGCTTGTTGCAGGTACCAGCTTCCATGTATTTCGGTCTTGCAGAGCCTTTAACTCCTTTTCCATCGCCTCCTTCCATTTCGCCTTATGTTCCCCCCCCACAGCCTGCGACAGAGTCGAGGGCTCGCTCGGAGATGGCGGTGGCGGGTGCTGGACGGAGACCCATAATCCAAGTATCTGCAGGCCCATGGGTGTGTGTCGAGGGGAATTTTCATTCCCGGAATAGGCTGCTTCGTCACCGTCTTCTGGATCAGGTAAGAAGTTTGGGCCGATGCGTTCTGAGACATTCGTGTCGACGGGGTGGGGTGTAATGTAACCTTGGTCGGCGAAGTGGTAAAAGGTGTCGAGGTTGTTGCTATCGAGGGGATTGTCTTCATCGAGTAGAACAGGTACGGAGCAGAAAGGGAGTGGTCCGGCAGCTTCCGAGGCTCCAGGTACGTTTTCTTCTGCTGCGTCAGCCTCGGCAGCATGGTCGGCGAAGGAACGAAGGCCCGCGAAGCCGTCGGTGGGGTCATGTGTGTTGGCAATGTTGTCCAGGTAATGCTGCAGCGTCAGTCGCTCGTAGAAGATAACATCACGTGATGCCACGGTAGTTTTGTCTTGTATGTCGAGGATTTTCCATGCGTGAAAATGTTGTGCGATGCTGAGGTGTAGCCCCCATCGTGCTCGTTGGGTGAAACGTCCTGCTCTGGTTGTGTGGGGTCTGTACTGTACCATGCAGCCGAAAACTCGAAGTAATTTTGTGCTGCCCCTTTTTCGTGTCCACAGCAGGTGCGGTGATGCGTTGTTGGGGAGCGATGACGAGGATAGCAAATTGTGCAGGTGGACTGCATGGGTCATCGCGTCTGGCCACAGTTCGTTGGGCAGTCTCATCCCCAGAAGTAGCTTCCGCATCGTCGTCTGCAAGGTCCGGTTCATTCTTTCTGCGACCCCCTGTTGCTGGTGAGCGTAGGGTAGAGACACCAGGCGTCTGATTCCTCTTTCCGCAAGATAGGTCCTGAAGCGTTGTGACTGGTATTCCAGTGCACCGTCTGACTGGAAGCTCTTGAGTTTGGTTCCTGATTCTCGTTCGGCGATGGGGAGCCATGTCGTGAAGGCGTCAAAGGCTTGATCGCGCGTCTTGAGGTTGTAGTGCCAAACATATCTTGTTGATGCATCGATAAAAGTGATGACATAGTTGAAGTCGGCCTCCGTGTCGTCTCGAGGCATGTTTAAGATGTCGCTGTAAACCTTTTCCATCGGTGCATATGCAGGCGCACTTGGATTGTGATGTGATGTGAAGGGTTGATGGGGAAGATCTGCTTTGGGGCACGTGAAGCACCGTGCGCGAGGTCTTCGAAGTTCTTGGCCGCTTGTTGTAAGAAGGGTGTTTCGTTCTAGTACTTCGGCTTGGATTGTTTGTAGTACGGTGCTGTTCGCAGGATGCCCAAGGCGTTGGTGCCAGATGTCGTCGGAAGCTCGATGGCCGGGCGAGCGTTGGTACATGTCGGTGTTGGAGAAGAACGCGACGACCGTGGCGGGACTTCGACAAACTTCTCGTGTGATGGGCATAAGTTGATCTGCTTCGGTTGGCGGTCGTCGGATCGCTGGTGGTGGTACTCGGCTGGGTCCTGCTGCTGCTACTGTAGGTGATGGTTGGGAAGGGACACTTGCTGGTACTTGTCTTTCTTGTCTGATGACTGCTAATGCTCGTGTTCTTTCTGCTGCAGGTATGGTGTTGGAGTGCCAGAACCCATCAGGGTCGAAGTCGGGTCAAGATCCGGCGGGTGTGTCCAGGCGGCGAACGACACGATTCCGTCGCTGTCGGCAGTACCGCGGTCGGGGACGAAGTCCAACACGAAGACGCCGGACTTCAGGAGAGCACGACCGATGAAGAGACCGCCCTTCCCATGGTAAAGGCGAAACTCGTTGGAGTAGGAGTCGCACTCCATGTGAATCCCTTTTGCCATCAGCTGGCTGACGCTTAGTAAGTTGTATCCCAAGTTGTCGACGATGAGGACTTTGTTGAGTTGAAGTATAACATTTGTCTCCATGGATTGTAACTGAACCACTCCTTGTCTATTTGTTTTCAGGTTTTCGTTGTTGGCGACGGTGATGATGACGTCGCGGGTGAGGCGTCGCTCTCGTTGCACGAAGCGTCCGGAAGAACACATGTGTTGACCGCAGCAGCTGTCCAAGAACCAGGTGTTTCGCCCGGTGGGTTCAGCGTTGGCGACCGCAGCGTATGTCGGGTTGACCTCAAGTCCTTGTGAGCGCGGCGGCGGAAGTTCTTCTTCGTCTGGCGCGTAGGTGGGTGGTGATCTTGGTGCGCAGTTGTCGATGTGTACCATACAGTTGATGATGTTTGGTGTCCCTTGTGCAGATCTGGAAGAACGCCTTGGAGGGCTTTCTTGAGTGGAGGCGACTTGTGGGTCTACTGGGCGATAGACACGAGGACGTGTGCAGTTGACTTTGGAATGTCCGGATGTTTGACAGTTGGCAGAACGGCGGCACGATGGTGAGTCCTCTGTTGTCGCGTTGATCTTGCTTGCCACGTCGATTGTTGTTGTTGTCGTTCCTTCGTTGAGTGTAGAAAACTAACTGCTGCTGCTTTCTTGGTTGTCTTTCTTCGAACAGGTCCATCTCCTGCTGTTCAGCATGAAGCTCGGCGCAGAGGTGCATCTCCGAGATCCTTCCGTGGGCGCGAAGAAGCGAGCGTGTGGTTCTCCATTCTGGCCCGAGCCCGGCGAGGACAAGCGTCACGAATCTTTCTTCAGTGATTGTTCCTCCGCACCGAAGCAGGCGGTCGCGGAGGGTCTGGCAGCGACTCATATACTGCATCGCCTTTTCTCCTGTCTTCATCTGTATTGTTGTCAGTTGTTGCATGAGTCTGCTTTGTGTCACGCTGTCGTTTGCTTGATAGAGACACTTGAGATGATGCCATGCGAGTTCCGCGGAGTTTCCATAGCTCCGATATGTTCTGATGCTCTGCTGTTCTTGTGGTGACAGGTTCCGCAGGAGAACTGTGTACGCCAGCAGCGATTGATATGTAAATATTTCTTGCTCCTTTGCAGTGCCGTTGCTTGGGAATGGCAGGGACCCATTGAAGTATCCCAGGAGATGCGCAGCCTCCATCAGCAGCTCGAACTCAAAGCTCCAGGTAAAGAAATCGTGTCCGTTGAATGGTGATGATGTCTGCAGTTTAATCACGTGTGAAAACTGCGCCTGGAGACTTAAAATCTCGTTTGGTGTTTGTTGTGATGCAGCTGCTGTTGGTTGGGCACGGGGCGACATGAACTCGAACGTCCCCGGTGAAGAGTGATAAGGCGCAAAGGTAGGCGCTTGATTGTGTCGCCCGAACGATGAGTTGTCGAGGCTCATCGGTGCTAATCCCATGTTCCCTCCGTTGCTTTGTGTCGAATGCGCAGGCGTCCTTGTCTGCTGCTGTTCGAAGTGCGACATGAAGCTGAAGAACATTTCCATAAGGTTCGGATCCACGCTTGAAGAGGGTGATGGGGTCGCCATTTCCGGTGTTCTTTCTGTTGTTTCTTGAGCAGCGCCGGTCTCGGTTTGCAGTCCTGAAGTATGCAATCCAGAGTTGCCGGGTTGAATGTCTTGGGCGCTGGGTGAGCCCGTAGAGATTTTCTTGCCCTTGTTGTCCATGATTTGTAATCAATGAAGTCGTTGAATTGCAGATTGTAGATAGAGTGTCGTTGCTGGGAGTTTGGTCTCTGACCAGCTCTCATACCATGTTGGGCTGAGAAAAGCCCTTAGGATCTTTTCAGAGACTAAGTCCCAGTTGAAGAATGAAACTTGAATAGTGCAGCGGAAGTTGAGTAGTTGAACCCTTGTACTAGTATATGAGAACAAGTGATTGATTAAAGAAACAAGCATACAGCAATATATAGAAAATAAGAAAACAGTTGTAGAATACAGTTGCAGGAGCGGTTATCGAGTCGCACAGCGACTCGATTGTCGCTTCGGTTACCATCCGCGCTGTTGTAACGGTCAGTCGCAACCTCCAGTTGCGACCCTTCGAGTCCCTTCGCGTTCTTTGTTCGCCCCCTCGTGTAACCTCCGTTGACTCGCGTACCCGTTGTGATCTTCCTCGAGTGTAGTGTTACACTTCAGAAACGCTTAAGTCCTTTGAGATATTTCCAACAATATGCATATGATTTAAAAGCAAACTTGCTTGAAAGGATGGGTGATGTACTGGTAGAATGAGGCTCTTCTCCCTTAAAAATGTTGCTTGCTACGAAGTACCCAACTGCGCAAACTAGGTCGAGGTTATATGAGTTCGCATGTATAGAGGTCGCGTGTTGCGGCGAGTTTCTCCGAATGTCCGCATCAGCAACACGTGGCATATGAACCTAACCAGCGAGACCAGCTACAGTGTTCCCAAAACCGCACCGCAAATTTTGGACTCGACACATTCAAGAAATTGCACGCTGACATTTTGGGCTCGCTAACTCCCACATTTCCCCACCTCCACCCAAACCCCCACCCTCTACCACGTGCACACCACATCGCCGGCATGCAAGCCACTGCGGGTTCCGCGCTTGCTGAAGCAGCTGCAGAGCCAAGCCGCAGAACAGCGCTTGCCACGCGATCCGGTTCTTGCTTTCGACCTGGTTTAAAGAGTATTCTAGGAGGCCTTCATCGCGTGACTGAGCTTCGCATACGTCAACGCTTATCGACTCTTCCTTTGCCGTTTTCGCAGATCATTTCAAGTCATGGCGTCTGACAAGCCCTTGTCCACAGGTGGCACAGCAGCCTCGGGATTGTCGGATGTGCCGGGCGAGGCGAAGACGATGACGACTCGGGTGATGGAGACGGGCGCGTCCACGGTGCAGCAGTTCCGCCCCATCCGGCAGATCGGCCAACACCTCTGCGCGTCAGTAGCCTCGCCTCGCTGCTCCCTTACTTGCCGCTTCCCTCGCCACTCTTCCCTGGATTCTCCAACAAAGCAAACTGACCATCAATATTCCCTTAAGCGTTGTGCTGACAGGTTGTTCCTAATGGACCTGTCAGCTTTCTTGCCCGGATCTGGGATGACCTTTGCTCCCAGCGCAAATACCCCCCTCATGCACTTTCACCCCTTCTCTCCCCCCCCTCCCCCAGGTTCCACTACTACGCCAGCGACATGTCGCGGCAGGTGGAGGCGCACCACTACTGCTCGCATGTGAACGAGGACGTGCACCAGTGCCTCGTCTACGATTCCGACCAGCCCTCCGCGCGCCTCATCGGCGTGGAGTTCATCGTCTCAGAGGAGGTGTTCCTCACCCTGCCGGAGGCCGAGCAGCGCATGTGGCACGCGCACGAGTACGAGGTCAAGAGCGGATTACTGTTCATGCCGGGCCTGCCAGCTATTGCGGAGCAGCCGATTATGGCGAAGCTGGTGAAGACGTTTGGCAAGACATGGCACTTCTGGCAGTTTGACCGCGGGGACGCGCTGCCCCTGGGCGTGCCACAGCTCATGGGGGCCTTCTTCGCAGACGGCCAGCTCAAACCCGAACTGCCTCGAGGTGGGGTGCTGTCGATTCTTTTCTTTGGAAGCCTGTGCTTATTTTGCACAGGTGCTGCCGTCCACTTACCCTTCCCTTCCAACCAACCAAGTCCAACACCCCTCATTCCACTCCCTCTCACACACGCTCTGCCTTCCACTCTCTCCGCCCTCCCCCACCTCCCCGCCTCCCCCCCCCCCCCCCCGCCCACAGCAGTGGAGCAGCGGTACGGGGTGCAGATGGAGGAGCGGCGCAAGATGCGCGCCGACCTCAAGGGGCCTGAGCGGGCTGTGGACCAGCTAGCAGAGCAGATCAAAAGGGGGATGGGGCTCGAGACAGAGCTCAAGGAGTGCGCGCTGCCGGGGAAGGAGGGGCCGGGCGTGGGTGGTGTGGGTGTTGCTGGCATGGCTGCTGCCGGCAAGGAGCATGTGGGGCAGGTGGGGAGGAAAACCACAGGCAGTGATCCCACGGCGAGGATTGGCGGCTGAGTGAAAGCGGGTGTGAAATGGAAGTGATGTCTTTCTTCTCTCGGCCGTATGCTGTGAGGCTGATAGGAAGGTAGTAAGAAACGAGTCCGGAGAGACATGGAGTGCACGCTATACACGTACATACGTTTATGCACACTGAGAGAAGGTGTGTTTCAGTGGATAGAGGCTATGGAACTTTCAGGTGGAACATGCTGCCCTCCCAGCTTGCTGCACTGCAGGGCTTGCCATAAATATGTGCAATGGAAGCCGTGAATGCCCCCCTGGAATACCACACTTGCAGCAGGCTGAACAGCCAGACGGTTATAAACACTTCTCCGCCCCACTCACTCAGTAAATGGTGTCAGCGCGCGTGGGCAGGCGCGCGAGGAAGCACTTGACCTTGGTGGGCGTGATGCGGCGCAGCCGCGGGTGTCTGAGCGCCCAGAAGCCCGCGGCCAGTGCCACAGGGCGGAAGGGCAGCAGCAGGAGGAGGAGCATGAGGCCCGTGCATGCCGCCATGAGCAGGAATGTGGCTCTGTGGGGAGGGAAGGGAGGTGGGGGGTGGTGGATGGGTGGGAGAAAGTGCAGAACGTTGTGGTAAGACATCCAGCAAGGGCAAGACACACGACGTGAGTTTTTGTCGTTACATGGGAAGGAAGGGATGATGGAGGAAGTTATGGTTGAGCCGTACCTTGGATCTCGCCATGTCAGCAGCATCTCCAACTTCTCTGCTGAGTCAGCAATCACCCCAAGGCCTCTCTGCACCTTCCCGGCACCTTCCATGAGCCGATCGTACTTTGCCCTGAGCGACTGCAGTGAGTGGAGGGGAAGGAGGGAGGGAGGGAGAGGGGAAGGGGTAAAGAGGAGAGGGGAGGAGGGTGAGAGAGGAGGAAGATTGCAGTGCAGTAAGCAGAGAGTCGAAATTATGAGGGGGATGCGAGTAGGGGGGAAATATCTTACGACTTCACCCCACAGCATCTCAGCCACCCTTCGTACCTTGTAATATGCAACCGGGTTCGACACAGAGACATCCTTCTCCTGCTCCTCTTCCTCCTCCTCCCCTCCTCCCCCTCCTCCCCACCTTTCTCCGTACCCCCATCCCTGCCCTCCCCGCCCTCCCCGCCCTCCCTGCCCTCCCTGCCCTCTCTGCCCTCCCTGCCCTCCCTGCCCTCTCTGCCCTCCCTGCCCTCCCTGCCCTCTCTGCCCTCCCTGCCCTCCCTGCCCTCCCTGCCCTCCCTGAACTCCCTGCCCTCCCTGCCCTCCCTGCCCTCCCTGCCCTCCCTGCCCTCCCTGCCCTCCCTGCCCTCCCTGCCCTCCCTGCCCTCCCTGCCCTCCCTGCCCTCCCCCTGCGAGAGCCTCAGGTCCATGAGGGGGGGCCGAGGGGGCGAGAGGGGGAGCAGGAGAGCAGCTGCCAAGAGAGGAGGAAGAGGAGGGTGGGAAGGATAAACTGCGGATAGAAGAGGGCGAGAGCGTAGGCGAGGTGGGCGGAAAGGGTGAGAGGAAGGCTCTCCCAGGATTTGATGGCCTTGAAACCGGCAGAGAGGGCGGAGAATCTGCTCCTGAGCAGCTTGATGCGCTGCAGGTTGGCTTTAAGGCGCCGCACCGACAGCACGTCCTCGTCGCTCTCCCCCACGTACTGCACCACTTCGGCGCGTAGAGGTGGGTCGAACGCGCCCAGCTGCGCGCACACCAGCCCCACCGCTTCTTGCAGGAGAAGGGGCGCCTGGGATTCGGGGATGGGGAAGTGGTAGTGCGCGGGGGGCAGCAAGGGGCGGATGTAGGTGGCGGCCAGGCGGGGGAGGGAGGTGGCGGGCGCGGGGGAGAGGCGCAAGGCGAGGTCCAGGTGGCCCAACTGCTTGACTCCCTTCTTGGTGAGGGTGAGCAGCGGCTGCTGCGAGGAGATGGCGCACGTAGAGTCCATGGAGCTCAGGCGGATGCGAATGCGACCCAGGGGCGTGTCAGTGGATGTCGTCACGCCCTTGGCATGCCTGGCCATGGGTGGAGGAGAGGTTGCGCGGGAGAGGGGGGAGAGAGAGCGAGGAGAGTGCAGGGATGATAGGGAAACAGCAGAGAGGAAAAGAGCTGGAGAGCACAGCATGTGACAACCTCAACCGCGCTGACTCACTTGTTCTCGAAGTGTGTAATGAGTCGATTTTTGAGTCGACTAAAAAATCGACTCATTACACACGGATTATACACTGAGAGAATTTTTGTCGCATGGAAGACTGGGCGTAACTTGCAAAAGTTACTTGTTCGCGCAAGGCTCCCTGAGCACCAGCTGACGAGATGTGGGTTACCCACGACACATCCCGAGGAATGAAGACCTGGCACCTTGGAACTTTCCAGGGTGTTTTGGATTGGCTGATCAGATTTCAGTCGCGGTTGTTCCAACCTTGAAGTTGTTGTTCTCGTAGCGCAGTTTCTGTTTAAGAGCTCGCTTGTAAACTCACTTTTATAATTCCACCAGCACTGATGAAGGTCTGATTTGGGGCCAGTCCCAGTCAGCCGAAACTAGTTTGCGTTTTAATCTTCTAGTGGAGTTGAGTTCGGAACTTCAAATTCTCGGTTTTTAACAGGGGTATGAATTTATCTACTGTCACTCTTTTTGCTAAAGTTTTTCCTCTTCGCTGCAACCCACCCTAACGCTTAATGGCTTAAAGGGCTGGAAAGCACAGCATGTGACAACCTCAACCGCGCTGACTCACTTGTTCTCGAAGACAGCAATGGTGAGCACGGTGCAGAGCTCGTACACCGGCCAGCTGAACTGCTCGCGCCACACGGGGCTGCTCTCCGCGCTCACCGTGCGCGTGCGCGCCCACATGCCCCCGTACCGCGCCACCGCATACACGTCCATCCCCGCCGCCCCGCCCACTGCCCGCTGCAGGTTCTTTGCCGAGATGATGCCGACCTCTAGGCGTGCGATGGGCGGCGGAGTGAGCGAGCGGGCGGCGGGGAGCGGGGAGGAGAGGAGGCGGGGGGCCTCGGTGATGACGTGGTGGCCGCCCTCTAGAGCGAGAAGGAGGGAGAGGAGGGGGGCGGGGGAGGACGAGGAGGGGGTGGAGGCGAGGGCGGGGAGGAGGTGGAGAGGGAGGAGAAGAGAGAGGGGGTTGAGGATGGTTTAGGGGAGGAGGTGGGCCGGGAGGGGGAGGAGTTGGGTTTGGAGGAGTGAGAGATGAGAGGCTCAGCAGAGGGCGAGCGCACTGCAACGTTGAGAGAAGCAGTGGTGGTGGGTTGGAGCGCGATGGAGATGGGTTCGAGGGGGTCGAGGGAGAGGCGAGTGGGGATGGAGGAGATGAGCACGGCTGCTGATGCCACCACCTCCTCCTGGAGAACGGAGGGGTGTGGAGGGGTGTGGTGAGTAAGGCAACACATGCTAGAGCGGGAAGGGAAGGGAAGTGGTGGTTGGGAGACAAAGAGTAGCGTGCGTGGCCTTGTGGATAGCATCAACGTGCAGGAAAAAGTTGGATTCGATCAGCAGCAAGCCTCCTAAGAGTAGATTTAGGTCTGGAACTGAGATTAACTGCGAGAAAGGTAAGAGAAAAAAACCTTAGTCAGAACGTCAGACACAATAGGCCTGGATGTGGCGTGCGAACGCGTTTTGGCCAGCAATAGGCCTTCATCAGCGCACTGAGAGTCAAACAGACTGACTACGATCCATTTCTACTCCTTTCCTCACTTGTGTTGCTCTAAGAAATTGGCCGTGTGGATGGCATCAACGTACCGAAGTGGGCGAGATGACGTTGACGATGTGCACTTGCAGATGGCCGTTGAGCGGCTCCGCCAGCACCAGCACCTGCTCCTCGCCCTCGCCCCACACCCACACGCCCTCCCCCGCCCCCTCCTCCCCTCCCACGACCACTGCCTGCTCTGGACCCGTCTTCAACCCATCTACGCCCCTCTTCACTCCTTCTTTACCCAACTTTACTCCATCGGCACCCATCTTCACCCCATCTGCACCCTTCCGCAGCTGGAAGACAGGGGGGATGCGCATGCTGCCCCCGAGGCTGCGTATGCTGCCCACGGTGGTGCCGATGTTTCCCACGGTGGTGCCGATGTTGCCCACGGTGGTGCCGATGCTGCCCACAGTGGTGCCGATGTTGCCCACGGTGGTGCCAATGTTGCCCACGGTGGTGCCAATGTTGCCCACGGTGGTGCCGATGCTGCCCACCGTGCTGTTGAGATTGTCCATGGCGCTGCTGATGCTCGCTGAAATGCTGCTCGAGGGATTATCGCCGCTGCTCGCCTTGCTGCCAGTGTTGCCGGGGGCATTCAGCGTGCCACGAAGCCTGTGTCCGAACCGCTGCCTTGGGGGAATCCACCCTGGGCTTGCACTTGCGCCCGTGCCCGCACCACTTCCTGTGCCTCCTGGTATACCTGTCCCTGACCCCGTGACTGCAGGCCTGCCTGCGCTGGCAGCCACAACCGCATGTGCTCCTCCTGCCACACTGTTTCTCCCCTTCCCGCTACCCTCTTCACCCTCCCTTGCCTCCTCCTCACCCTCCCCACCTTCCTCCCCATCTTCCTCCTCATCACTGCACCACCCCTCACTGCGGTTGCTTGCCCCGCCGCCCACACTGCTGGCGCCGGGCGGCAGTGACGGAGTTCGGTGAGTGGCGGGGCCTGTCTGCACCTGCATGCCGCAGGGCACTCGTAGTCGCACCACCTGGCGGGCAAGAGGGGGCATGGAGGATAAAAGAGAAGGGCATGCGGGGATGGGTGAGGGGACAAGAGGGGTTCGGATTGCAATAAATACAAAACATGGGTCGAGATTGGAAAGCGCAAGTACAACACATGGGATATGACCCATACAGCAGCATCAGCCTGTGGCTTACAAGGTTGGGTGCGAGGCGGGAAGTAGTGAAGTGCTCGAGCTTGCAGGGGTGCACTCTGAGGTACCAGAGGCGTGGTGAGGGGTACGTGCGCGAGCGGTGGTGCGGCACGCCCTTCACGTCCCACTGCCACGCCTCGCCAAACAGCTCGTCCGACCGCTCCCCTATCCACGCCGCCACCTGCACCTCGCCTGGCGGCCAGGAGAGGCATAAGAGGGGCGGGGCGGGGGGAGTGTGTTGCGACGAGAGGGAAGAAGCGGGAAAGGCGGATGGACGAGGGTGTGAGGCGAGACGGAGGGAGGGGATTAACGAGCATGGAGGAATGGGTAGACAACGCGGGGGGTTCCAACAGCCAGCATGGGCGGTCATTCACCAGCACAACAGCCAACACGCCAGCGCAGCCAACTCCAAGCACGTGCATGCACAGAGCTACCTTTGACAGCGCTGCGAACAGCGGTGGGAGGGCGGCGGCAGCCTTGTTGTCAAGGCGGATCCAGCGCGGGTCAACGGGGGGCGCGGAGGGCAGGCGGCGCGGCAGAGAGGCGATGGCAGCGAGACAGCGCCCAGGAAGGAGTCCCGCAGCAGCCGGTTCTGAGGGGAAGGGGGGGGAGGGAGAGATGGGGGTTTGGGATGACAGGAGGGGGAACAGGGAGGGGAGGTGGGGAAAGGAGAGGGCGAAGAGAAGGGTTGGAGAAGGAGTGTTGGAGGAGGAGGGTTGGAGAAGGGTTGGAGGAGGGTTGGAGAAGGGTTGGAGGAGGGTTGGAGAAGGGTTGGAGAAGGGTTGGAGAAGGGTTGGAGAAGGGTTGGAGGAGGGTTGGAGAAGGGTTGGAGAAGGGTTGGAGAAGGGTTGGAGGAGGGTTGGAGAAGGGTTGGAGGATGGCACATGAAGGCTTGAATTGGGTGTGATGCGATGCGACGCATAACATAACATAATCGCACGGCCGTGTGTTGGAAGTGCGGGAGCGCTAGCGGCGATGCAACAGGTGTGAATCTACTTCGCTCCCCCATGCGCACCTTGTTCTTCCCCCATGCGCACCTCGTTTTTTATCACTATCTCAAGCGTGCTGGAGGGGTCAGCCAGCGAGAACGAACTGGGAGACGGGCCAATTGCAAACACCTGGGGTGGGGGGAGGGCAGAGGGGAGCGCGGCACGTGAGAAGTATGAGGTGAAAGAAGAAGCACGTAACCCATGTGAAGAGGGACGAGGGAGAGGCAGGAGAGAGGAGAAAGAGAGGGGGGAAGCAAAGTGGGACTGAGAGCAGAGTGGGCCGACCTGGTTCCACTTGGGGTTGACGTCATCCGGTACGGTGCGCGTGCGCGCCGTGACCTTCCCACCGTCACACCACGAACTGCCAGACACACAACAAGCAACACGGAACGGCGGGTGGGGTAAGCATGGGGGGGGGACACAGACGATGGCGAGTTGAGTGAACCACTAACCCGACCCCTGCAAGCACTAACGTGCTATATCAGCACGGCAGGTATATCAGCGCGAGTCGAAGCACACAACTGCAACTCACAGGGTCGCTGGAGGCGTTGAGGTCCATGCCCAGCAGCGAGCGCGCCTGCACCACGCGCACAAACACAATGTGCTCCGCGCCAGCACCCCCTCCCCCTCCTCCCCCCATCCCCCTTCAGCCCCTCTCCCTCTCCCCCTCCCCTCCCCCTCCCCCTTGCTGTCCGCCCCCTTGTGCTCGGAAGGGAAGGTGAGGTCTTGCTGTGCGGGGCGGGGTGCAGTGGCGGGTGGCAGCAGCGGGGAGAGGGCGTCGGAGGGGAGGGCCGAGTCGTCAGACGAGATGATGGTGTGGAGGGCCGAGGAGGAGGGGGTGGCGGAGGGGGAGAGAGGAGGGGGGGCGGGAGGCCGCCTGCTGCCGTGGCGGGAGAGCGCGCGAGATGTGGCAGTGGGCATGCCATCACTGTCCTCCAGGGATGACGTGGACGTGGATGGCGGCAGGTGCCACTGTCGGCCTCGCATTGGTCGAACTCGTCCAGGCTGGCAGGGTCGATGGACGAGGCGGGCACGTCCTGGTAGGAGACAGCCATGCTGGGGGGGGCAGGGGAGGGGGTAGGCAGGAAAGGTGGGGGAGGGAGGGGCGAGGAGGCGAAAAAGCTTTGTTTGTGGCTGTTCTATGAAGAATAGAAAAGCATGTTCCAAGCATGGTCCAACTGACAGCGAGGGGTTGGGCGCGGCTTGGGGACAGACAGCGTAGTAGGGTTGAAATAAGCAAGGCGATTGGAGGCGGTGGAGTGTGGAGAATCACAGCAGAAGCCAGTGATAGGCTGCCATCAGAGCCGTGCAGCTGAACGAACCATGTCCACCCACTCTCACACCTCTCGCCCCCTCTCCCCCCCCCCACCCCACCCCAGGTCTCACCCCCACTGACCGCAGGTCGCCGCGCACGCGGTTGATGAGGGAGCGGCGCTCCAGAGGCAGCCAGGTAAGCAGCGCCGAGGCCAAGGGGGGGATGCCGGGGGTGGGGGCGTGCAGGCGGATGGGCACCTGGGAGGGCAGTGGGGGGTGGCGAGGGGTGAGAGAGGCATGTGAAGAGGGAAGGCGAGCAATGCTGGATGGAGTGAGCAAGAGGAAGGAGACGTGTGTGGGTGTAGTTGAGGTGGAGAATGGCGGGAGGCACAGGAGAAGGATGGGGCGAGCGTACGCACCCCCGCCCTGCCCCCAAGCATCCGTTGTCCGCCCCCCTCACCCCCTCACCTGCACCTTCCCAGGAACACGCTTCTCTCTAGATCCGCCGCCACAAGCTGCTGCTGCCGCCCAGCCCCTGGCGGCGAAAGCTGGCAGAAAGGCTGCCGGCCGCAACGAGGGGGGCGGCGGCGGAGGAGGGGGTGTAGATAGTGACGTGGACGGGCTCTTCCTGGTCCGCGAGTGCGGGGGGCAGGGGGGAGGGGAGGGGCACTGCAAACACGAACTGGGGGGGCGGGGGAGGGAGGGAGGAGGGGAGGGAAGGGGAGGGAAAAGGACGAATTTCAGGGGCACGGCATAAAGCGAGCATTAAGAGGTAAGCATTGGCGGGTTGGCAACGCCTTTCACTTTGGCTGCTGGCAGTCGGAAAGCGTCCCGCTCACCTTCTCGTCCCACACGGGGTTGAGATTCCTCTCCACTGTGTGCGTGCGCTTCGTGTGCCCGTTGAACTCCACCTGCCGTACACCACCACGCCACGCCACACCACGCCACGCCACGCCACGCCACGCACCGCCACGCCACACCACACCACACCACGCCACGCAACGCCATGTCACGCCACGCCACGCCCCGCCACGGCACGGCACAGCACGCCACGCCACGCCATGCCATGCCATGCCACGCCATGCCATGCCACGCCACGCCACGCCACGCACCGCCATGCCACACCACACCACGCCACGCCACGCAACGCCACGCCACGCCCCGCCACGGCACGGCACGGCACGGCACGGCACGCCATGCCATGCCATGCCACGCCATGCCACGCCACGCCACGCCACGCCACGCCATGCCATGCCATGCCACGCCATGCCACGCCATGCCCCGCCATGCCATGCCATGCCACGCCATGCCACGCCATGCCCGCCATGCCATGGCAGCACGCCCTGATAGAAGTCAGAGCAAGGGACCGGCTTCGTCGACCAGAGGGCAAAGCGCGAGTCCGGACGCGTCATAAGGCAGAGCCGATACAAGCAAGCGAGGGCTCGAAGGCGGCAGAGAAAGCAGGACGCACGACGCAGAAGGGGCTGGACGACGCGCCGTCCTTGGCCAGCAGCCTCCGCGCGCCCGCGATCTCCACCTGCACCAGCCGCACCCGCCCCGCGTCCGCCGCCTCGGGATCCTCGGAGGCGGGCGGCGGAGAATGCGGACCGACTCGCGCCGGGTCGAATGCAGCGGGCGGAGTCGACGCGCCTTGCTCCCTCTCCGCCATGACGCCGATGGGAGCGGGAGCCTTGCACTAGGCCCTAGTGGATGACACCAAAGCCGCCTAATTTAGGATATGAACTGATTGCTGCATTGCAAAACTCAGAGGAAGAGCGCGATCGATCATGCAAAGGCGAAACGGGCGGCCGTTGACCTGCGGAAAGCGAATTCCACTCCCCTGGAGCATGCCGCATGTAGGTCAGGCGCGAGGTCGAGAGTGTGAAGAATGCAGACAAACAAAGTAGGAGGTACACCTGTTATTCTGTTTAATTTTACAGTTTTGCACGCGGCTTGAGCCTGTAAATAGGAAATGTAAAACACGGGCAAACGGGTCCTTCAAGGGGAAATCCCGCAGTAAACAATGACACTTGCTTACAAAATCTCGCTCATGCACTAGATAGAGTTGCCTGCGCGACGTCCCAGCTCGGAAACTAGCAATTGTTGAAACACAAATTGGCTGTTCGCTATCGTTTAGACTGCAGCCAATCAGGTTCAGTGTCAACGCGAGTCATGCTGAGAACCTGGTAAGTGAGATTGCAATATGAACTGTTCAGGGTGGGACAATAGAGAGAGAAAGGTGTATTAAGAAAACAGCAATGATAATGGGTTGAGAAATGGAGCTGCCTGAGTGAATGAGCGGTCTCGATTCTCGAGCAATTCCCAAGGCTGTAGTGCCCTCCTATCAGGGAAGGTGCATTCTTTGCCTGAATCTGAATACACGATTTATTTCATACGGTACATTATGTTCAACAGGCAATGCATGCAATTTTCTTAAAAGCCTACAGCTCCCAATATGAAATGAGTTTGTGTTTGCCTTGTAGATGGGGGTGGATTATTGATCAGACGTTCCCTTTTCAATATGAACAAAAGATTGTCATAAAATATCACAAGCATGGAGCTTGCAAGATACAATAAAAGTCATATCAATGCTATCTTACCACAATAATAGCAGCAACAACTAGATTACGAAATTGCTACCAGGTTATTGGAAAACTATGAACAACACATATAACCCGTCTGCAAGTCACGACATCCTTGGAAGCCTAAGCATGTTTTTACTCACAGCTGTTGGGCAAGCAGGGCCAAGGAGTGCCACTACTCCATTCCTTCCCGCTGCCTTCACATGAGCAGCAGATACAAAACCTGAAGCCATAATCTGAGCCTTCACCACCCCATGCACTGAACTCCTCACAGCGGCCCGCCTTTGCTCCACTAGCAGATACTCCAGGCACACCTCCCCCAGCAGCTGCTCCAGCAGCGCCCTTCCACGTCAAACACCACGCCCGACTCCTCCTCCGCAACGTCCTCCTCGCGCCATCTCTCCGTGCCCCGCCACAGGTCGCGGCGGGCGGACTCGTCCAACACAGTGTACACCTCCTCTGTGGACGCCCACGGGCCACGAGTGGATCTCGGACCACACCTCCTGCACCAGCTCCATGCCCAGCGGCCGCCTCCTGGCGCTGCACGGCGGGAGGGGAGACCAGGGTGGGCGAGGGAGGAATGCTGCGAGGCGGCGGCCCGAGGGCCTCGTTGACGGCGTCGAAGAGCAGCATGCGCTGGCGGCGCTCCTCGTGGTACGAGGCGGGCACGGCGAGGGGGAAGGCCGGCAGGCTGGAGGCCACAAGGGACGGGTCGTGCGTGGTGTGGGCGCAGCAGCGCATGAGGAAGGCGGCTTCGAGGTGGTGGAAGAAGGCGGGGTTGATGGGCAGGTACGGCGAGAAGAGCGGCGGCAGCGCGTCCGAGAGGAAGCCCGAGGCCAGCAGCGCGTGGCGCACGTACTGCACGTCCTGCTCCATGCCGCGCACGTCGCCGATCCACTCCGCCCACGGCATGTCCGCGTCGTCCGCGGACCCCGAGGAGGAGGACGGGCAGGGCGAGGGGAAGGCGAGCGGGAAGGGAAGGAGGCTCGCGGGAGGGTCAAGGTCGCTGAGAGCACGTGGGTGGTTGGTTGATTGGATGGTTCATAGTTGGTTGGTTAGTAAGAGCCAGCTGGTCAGGGGGGGGAGGTGGTGGGTGATGAGGAGAAGCAGCATGCTGCGTGCGGGGTGCAGTGTGGGGGTCAGTACCATTTACCAAGCCACCTCCACCGCATCCATGCAAGCCTTTCGCAGCAACGCCGCTTCCCATGTCTTGCGCGTTCAGCGAGTGCTTGGGTTGCTGCGTGTGTCCTGCTGCCGGCTGCGCCTCACGACGCGCCTTGTGCGTCTGCTCCGCGCTCGCTCCTCTCCCACCAGTCCCTGCCCCAATGTTCCCCACAACCCGCTTCTCGTTCTTCCACTTAACGCTCCCTGATCCCGCCGCAGTATGTCCCCGCAAACCCTTTCCCCCGTCCGGTGCGTCCTGCGCGGGGATTCGTCCGCCGCCGCCAGGTGCGCCTTTCCCATCCGCCAGGCGGTGCCGCGGCTTCACTCCACCCGCCGCAACACGGCCCTGAACGGCGTTCCCCGCAGCACCAGCAACCAGAGGCTTCCTGCTCGCCACCAGCGCATGGCGACAAACGGACGGAGCCCTGTCAGCCTGTGCAGATCCCAACCTCCCGCCACGTGGTATCTGTGCAGCGGCGCCGCCACCATCCCCCTTCTTAGCAACCCCGCCGCCCACCGCCCGCACTCCATTCCGCTGCTTGGCCAGCTGGAGCGCCAGGTTCTCACTCGCGTCCGACATCCTTCGCCCCTGCCCACTCTGCCCACCCTTCGCCGCATTCCGTGCCGCATTCGGTCCCGATTTCCCCGCAGACACCTTTTCACCACGTGGGGCGCAAGCCGGCGCTTTTACGTGTTGGTGCGAGTGTGCTGCCGCGGCAGTGCCGTGGGCCTTCCCTGCTGCCGGCGCGCCAGCCTTGGCCTTCCTCGGCTGCGACGACGTGCTGAAAGGATCGCGGCCCATCGCCCGCCGTCCGCCGCTGCGCGCCGATGGGCGAGACAGCGCGACTTGGCTTGCGACGACTGCGTGGGGGCCAGCAGCCGGCTGCTGACGCGCGGCACTGTCGCCGACTTGACTCCGCGCTCCAGACTCAGATGCCCCTCCGACAGCCGCCCCACCGGGAGGCTCCCCCCCCCGCCTGTGAAGCTCCGCCTGCGGCTGGCGGGACGGTCGCCGTATTGCGCGCCGAAGACCGCGTCCGCGCCGCAATCGGAGGGGCTCTCCCAGCCCGTGTCGTCGGGCGCGGGGTCGTAGCTGAAGTGCGAGCTGTCGCAGCTGAACGTGCCGGACAGCGAGAGCGACATGGATAGCGGCGATACGGAGCTAGAGGCGGCATCGTGCTCCGCGTGAATGTGTTTGAATGTATTGATGGATGGGGACGGTGTTAGCTCGTCGAGTTCCGTTATGTTTTCCTTTACTAGTCGTCCCACTGCCCACCGCCATTGTGAATAGAAAGCGTGTCAAGGAGGGCGCAGAGGGTGCATGACAAATAACCACTCTATGCGAAAGGACAGGTCACGGAATTGCTGGAAATGCACAGAATGTGACGGACAGGTTCTGCGTTGCTCAAAATGGGAAACTGAATGCGAGGACATGGGATGAGATCATGAGAGAATTCACATGGTGTGAAGATTTGGGAAGCAACGGGAGGAATTGCACATTGCAATTGGAACGGTCATTTTGCATAGACGCGACCCGACTTCCCTTTTGCCCATTTCCCCGTTTCCGACGGCGGCGCGAGTGCTGGACTTTGCAATGGCATTTGGTGTAACAATTGGTCAAACATCAAACCAAGTCTACGCTATAACCATGAACAACTCTACCACCTCCTTATGGTCATGGCAGCGAAACACAAAATATGTCCATCATTTAGGTCAAATAGGTCGCAAATATGATAAGGCACTCAAGATTTTTTCTCCCTCGTGTTGAGATTCCGTTACAAATTGAAGAGGATAAAGTGGTAATATACATGAACTTGTAAAGGGGTTGTAGACGTTTTGATGTGGTTTAGTCGGTTTCACTACGGCTCAGCACGGTTGGCGTTCGAACTTCTTATTTTCCGAGAAAAAAGTACAACGCCCGAAAGCATTATGTTAGTGCAGCACCATTTACAGTGGCTGAAAAGAGACTTTGGGGTTTACGGGGGAAATCTTGGAAAGCCGAGGCGCCAGGTGGGATGGTCTGGCTGATGCCTCATCATAAGTGACTGCGCCAACCAGACCGAGGAAAAGTTCTGTAATGGTTACCATCATTCGCGAAACTATATCCTTAGCTAGCTGTCGCCTTACGGGCATCATCAACCAACCTCACATTTCAGTGATATCATGCGGAAGTCAACGTAGCGTGAGGTCACTGTCGGAATGGAGAATGACCACAGCATTTCCCCTGCATTGTAATTCAGCTGCCTCTCCTGTTTGTGAATTGCTGGCGTAAATCCATCAATGGCTTCTTGGTTCAAGATAACAGCCGCTCTAGTCATTTTGCTGGTCTGCATTCCATGTCTACTGGCCAATGACTCCCCATGGACAACTCCTCCAGTCGCGGAACCCTGGGGATTGTCGCAGCAGTCTCCGGCCATTCCAGGGTCCCAGCCTCAGGTCAATCCGACCGCCCATCGTCGCTCGATTCTCAGCCGTCCAACCAGACATTGTCACGAGCATCGCCACCAGTTCCGTCCGAATCGTTCGCGCATTCGCCGGTTGAATCCCAGCCTCCCTTGACCAACCGTCCGTCAGTACTGCGGGCCCGCCGATCTCCCAGCCATCCGCGGAGCCATTGGCGCAGCAGCCTCCGCCGCTTCCAGCTCCCCCACAGGTGGCGCCTGCTGGAAGCGGGGTCGGGGACGAGCAGCGGCGAGCAGAATGCAGGATCGGGGGAGAGCAAGTCAGGCGCGGGGAGGCGCTACCTGCGCCTCCTTCCCCACAAGCTGCTCCTCCGCCTTCCCCTGTGGGTCCCGGAAGGCGTGAGCGGAGCACCAGCGGAGCCCAAGGGGGGGGGTGGAAGCATGGGACGAGGAGGCGGGGCAGGTGGAGCTGTCGGTGACGTGCGGGCTGACGGACTACGGAGGCAGTCAGGCTCCTGCGACGGTGAGAGACGGCCCTAGGACGACGCAAATTCTGTGCTGACCGCACATGGAGGCGGTGGCGTGGTTGGCTTGGAGGCAATGCGGCTGCTGCGCATCGTGCATCACCGGAACACACACAGCGCCGCTAACGCTACTGTCATTCCAGGCTCGCCGCTCCCCTCACTGTGCGCTTCGTCTGCTCCCAAACCCTACTGATTCCCGACTCCCTCTTCCTGGCGCGTGTGCATGGCGTGTGCAGGCAAGGGGTGGCGCATTGTGTCGTTTGTGAAGATCCGCAACTGCACGGATCCGTTCAAAGTGCAGCCCATGCGGCAGGAGCCATGCAGTGAGTCCGGGGAAGGGCGCGGCGACACGGGTACGTGTAAGGAAGGGTCGGGTATGCTGGGTGTGAGTGCCTCAGTGTGGATTGTCTGGAGCTGGGGATGGGGCATAGCCGAATACCGTACCTTGGTTCACTCATCAGAATGGTTGATGACGTTTATTCAGTATGCTGCCTTGACTGTAAGATCAACTTCAAGCCATGTGTGGCCCAGGCCATCCACCTCCCCTTCCCATCCTTCCACTTGCTTGCTGACTCTCCCATCCCCCCTGCAGCATGCACGCCTGAGGACTTTGACGTCACGTACAGCATCTCAGACGATGGCACCAAATGCAACATGCAGTACCTCCCAGCCAGTGAGTGGCACGCACCTACTAGTCCGCATGCTCGGAACTGGAGGGTCTCTGAACAGCCGTGCACAGCTGATCTCGCATTCACTGCTTTCCCTGTCCCTCTCCCTTCTCCCCCGCGCCCCCTCGCTGCACACAGACTGCACGGGAGCACAGCAGTCGGCGTTCATCCCCGTCGACATGGTCTACTGCGGTCAGTGCTGCCCCTCCCTGCCCCCATCGCCCTTTGCTCTCACCGCTCGCCCTCTGCTCAATTTCACTCGCGTTTTCACGTTCAGGGAAGCTGTGGTGCTCTCTGGTCTTCTCTCTGGTCCAGTACCATGTTACACGCATGCGACCCATCACTGCATGCATGCATGGCGGCATGGCAGGCCTGGCGAGCGCGCCGTGCACAGTGGCGACATGGACGCCATCTACTCCGACTGCGACTTCATTCGCCACCCCCTCACAGGCCAGGCCATTTCTGACACGCCCGTTGTTGAGGTGCGCCATGCCATGCCATGCATGCTCCCTTGCGCTCATCTCGGCTCAATGCGTAGCTTCATGCACTAACACTCCTGGACATCCACCTCCCGCCATTTCAAATGCAGGTCTCATTCGTCTTGGCAGCTGCACCACATGCCCCCTCATCACCCCCTTCCTTCCACCCCCCCCGGTTTTCGCCCTGATCAGGTGATCTATTACTTTGGCCGTGAGTGCGACCCTACAGGAGGGGCTCCATCCGCCTGCCGCCCAGCACCTACATTCCCTGCGGTACTGCTCTCCCTCCTCCCTTCCACAACGCCCCTACACGCGTCGCGACCACCCCCGCGACCACTGCAACCTGTCCTCCATCCATACCTTGCCACTCTTCTCTGCCAACGCTCTCCATGCTCCTTCTGCACGCTCCAATGCACCACTGCTTATCCCCCCCGCCTCTCTCTTACCCTGTCATTCCCACGCCGTTGTGCCTTCCCCCCACTCGCATGTACCCCCCGCGCCAGACATGCAGTGCGGCGTGGGCCACTACCTGCGCCACGACCACTGCCTCAAGTGCCCTGCAGGTGGGCTCATCTCCAGGGGAGGGGTAGCCGGCAGGGAAGGGGTCGCTAGAGCATGCTGGGAGTGAGGAGAGCGGAGGCCATGCATGCGAGGGAGCGAGGTGGAAGGGCCAAGCGGACGGAGTGAAAGCATGTCAGTAGTGCCCCCCTGTCAGCAGACAAGAGTGTGCGCGAGGGAGAGGGAAGACGAAAGGCCTGGGGTGAGACGTAGCAGCAGATCTGTGTTGATCTGAGTGTTGAGGGGAGATAGACGAATTGGACGGACACCGATCCCATCTCCCCTCCCTCCCCCTTTCCCCCCCCCTCTCTCTTCGCCCCCTTCCCCCCTCCTTTCCCCATTTCCGCCAGGCACGTACAGCATGGGGGAAAAATGGAGATTCGAGGAGATATATGAGATCGACCCCAAGTACTTCAAGGTGAGCCGCAGGCATGGCATGGCGGCAGGCACAAAGAGTGCACGGCATGGCAGCAGGCACAGAGAGTGCATGCATGCAGCATGGTCAATGTCACCATTATCCTGCCCGCTCAATCTGCATGCTACTCTTGCAAACGATACACCTCACGTGCTTGTAATCAGCCTCCATCAAGCCCTCAGCTCTGTACGCCCCTGCTCTCCCCCCCTCCCCGTTCCTCCCGTTCTCCCCCCCCCCCACCCCCCTCCCTTCAGACCGAGTGCAAGTTCACCAACGCCACGGGCGCCTTCGACTGCGACCCGTATGTTGCTGCCACCACCACCCCATGCCGCCCCCTCGCCTCCCAGCTTGCCATGGCGTGCTGCCGATCTCACCCCTCGTTCTTCTTCTGACGACGGCATCCCTGCTCGCTCTTTCTTCCTTCCTGCCCCTCAGTCTGCCGCCCCTTCTCCTCTCCTCTCTTGCCGCTCGTGTCCCCTCTGTGCTCTCTGTGTGTCTCCCCCCTCCCCCACCACTGGTGCAGCTGGTACGCGGACGATGGGGCGTTCGAGGCAGGGGCGTACGACTACATCAACGACTGGCTCCCGGTAAGGCCTCCCCCTCATGGGCGTGCGTTGAGCGTCCCTCCATGGCGTTCACTCACATGCACGTCGCTCCTGCTGCCGTCTCTCACACTGCTCTCCCCCAAGCCCCTCCCCCTCTCCTCTCCTCCCACCTAAACCCTTCTCCACCCCCCCTCCCCTCTTCCCCCCGACCCCCTTGACGTGAGCGCAGGAGGTGTGTGCGTCGGACGCGGCGTACAACTGCCACAACAACCTGCGCTCCTCACTCTCGCTGGACGTCAACCTCGTCAGGGACGGGTGAGCGGGCAGCATGGCTAAGAAGCACCATGCAGTGCATGGCACGAGAGGAGTGATCCAGTGGGTTGAGGGGGACGGGAAGGATAGAGGGCGAGAGGAGGGCAGGGGAGGATCGTGATCCGTATGGCCTAATCACCCATGGGCTGAAGTTGGATTTATTACCTCCCATAATTGTTCCTCTCTCTGTTTTTGCGCCTCCTCTCCCTTTTACCCTACCCCCCCTGTTCCCCAGGTACGTGAAGTTCAACTTCACGGTGAGTGCGGAGATGGGCCATGACGGGCTCTCCTTCTACATCGACTCACTCGCTGAGCCCCTCATGGCGCTCACCTCCTACCAGGTAACGCTCACCTCCTACCAGGTAACGCTCTCGCCCGTAAGTAGCCCCTTCTCCCCTCATCCGCTTTCCCTCAACAAGCCTCAACCGTGAGGCTCACGCACCTCTACCCCCGTCCCCCTCCCCCTCCCCCCCCGTGTTCCCATGCGCCTGTGTGCGCTGTTGCGTGCAGTTTGAGCCGCGCGAGATGGTGTTCCCAGTGGAGGCCGGGCAGCACCGGCTGGTGTGGGAGTACAGCAAGGACAGCAAGTGGAGCAAGGGCGAAGACGTCACCACCATTCCGGTCAGCTGCTCCCCACCACGTGCCATAGGCCTGCCATCCCACATGCCTCAACCCTGCCACTCCACATGCCATAGCCACCATTACACCCGTACTGCATACACTCATTGCACACCCATGCATCTCCATTGCAAGCAGCCGGAGCTGTCTCCCATGCCATGCTCTCTCAAACCCCCATGGCCGTGTGTGTGTTGCCGCGCCGCAGTACATCGAGGTGGACGGCGTTGCCTTCAACGACTTTCACTGCCTGCCCTGCCCGCCTGGCTCCCACAGGTGATCTCCCCACCACCCACCACCCGTGATAAGTAACGCACGGCATATCAGTCACACCCTTCCTTCCTGCGTGTTGAGTCTCGTTAGGATGGTGGAGGGTTTCCAATATGTCCTTGTACGCTCCCATCCCAACCCCATCCTGACAAACATCCTCACACCTGTCTTCCTCATGCGTCCTACATCTGTGCGCGCAGTGGTGAGGGCGCTGCTGCCTGCCTGCCATGCCCTGATAACACCTTTTCCAAGTGAGTCGGGAAGGGGTTCAGCGAGTCAAGGGAAGTCAAACAGGTCAATGGCAGTGGATGCAGCAGATGAGCTCCCGTCACTTCCCTGTGCTACTCCCTACCTTGTGCTTCGTGGCACTTCATGCTAGTCGCACAGCTCCAATACTCCTCTGGCAGCCATCGATCATGTAGCCACGGGCATGCACATGGATCTATGTGCACATCCATTTGCATCACCATAGACCTTCGCACGTTCACACACATTCTCATCTGCATACACATGAGCATGTGCACATGTCCATGCATGCATGTGGGCACAATCGTGCGTGCAGGGAGAGGGCGTCAGAGTGCACGCCCTGTGGCAGCAGCACGTATTCGCGCATCATCCCCCGCACCGAGTGCAAGCCTCGCCCCTGTAAGAGGTCATCCCATGCGCGTCGCCCACATGTGTGTCCCCGTGTAACGCACAGCTGCCCCTCAATCACCTCTCAGAATCACCTCGTGCCATTCCCCTTGCTCACTCGGCTCAGCACACCCGAACCCCCCCCCCCCTCCCCCTCTCTTCCCGCCCCACCTTCCTGGATCAGCGTGCAGCATCGAGCGCGACGCCACCATCGCATACACGCCGTGCCAGCTGGCCTCCAAGAAGCGAACCATGGTGCGCCACGCCACGCCTGCCTCTCCCCCATCCCTCCACGCCCTTGCGCTTGCTGCCGCTGCCGAGTCCCTGCATTTCTCACTGCGTTCCCATGCCCCTCTTCTCACCTCTTCTCCCAGCGCAACCCCCCGTCCCTTGTGACTGCGTTGTGCGAGCATGCAGAGGTGGCAGTGGATCCAACCACAGATCTGTGACCCCACCAACGTCTCTCTGCCTAATGACACTCCACTTGACTGCGGTGAGCATGCTGCACGCCCTGCCATGCCGTGCTATGCAATGACCTGCCATGCCATGGCTTTCCCTGCCCTGCGCTGCCCTGCCATGCCCTGCCTTGCTGTGTTGAAAGAGCGCTCGCCTGGGCGCACGTTTTGCGTTGTAACCCTTGCGTTCAAACACAAAATACAAAAAATTCGAAGAAGCGCGCAATCGCGCAATCGCAATCGCAATCGCCCACCGCCCACCGCCCACCGCCCACCGCCCACCGCCCACCGCCCACCGCCCTTTAAGCCCACCGCCCACCGCCCTTTTCCTAAGCCACCGCCCACCGCCCACCGCCCACCGCCCACCGCCCACCGCCCACCGCCCTTTTCCTAAGCCCACCGCCCACCGCCCACCGCTCACCGCCCACCGCCCACCGCCCTTTTCCACCGCCCACCGCCCACCGCCCACCGCCCTGTTCCACCGCCCACCGCCCACCGCCCACCGCCCACCGCCCACCACTCTTTCCCACCGCCCACCGCCCACCGCCCTTTTCCACCGCCCACCGCCCACCGCCCACCGCCCACTGCCTATCGCCCACCGCCCACCGCCCACTTCCACCGCCCACCGCCCACCGCCCTGTTCCACCGCCCACCGCCCACCACCCTTTCCCACCGCCCACCGCCCACCGCCCACCGTCCTTTTCCACCGCCCACCGCCCACCGCCCACCGCCTATCGCCCACCGCCCACCGCCCACTTCCACCGCCCACCGCCCACCGCCCACCGCCCTGTTCCACCGCCCACCGCCCACCGCCCTTTTCCACCGCCCACCGCCCACCGCCCACTGCCCACCGCCCACCGCCCTTTTCCACCGCCCACCGCCCACCGCCCTTTTCCACCGCCCACCGCCCACTGCCCACCGCCCTGTTCCACGGTCCACCGCCCACCGCCCACCACCCACCGCCCTGTTCCACCGCCCACCGCCCACCGCCCACCGCCCACCGCCCACCGCCCTGTTCCACCGCCCACGGGCCACCGCCCACCGCCCACCGCCCACCGCCCTTTTCCATCGCCACCGCCCACTGCCCTTTTCCACCGCCCACCGCCCACCGTAGCATTGTTGTCTAAGTCAGGGACGTTTGGGCTAAGAGTAGACAGCTAGGAACCTTTTGTGGGTAAGTGATCATATGGGTAATGCCCCTAAACGCTAATGTTCCTGATACAACAAGGAATTTTTGGTATTAGGACGAGGAGTTTTCTTGTATTTGAAGAGAGTATTCAATTCGTTTTTTGTATTTGATCGAAGATCTAGGACAATACAAATATCCCGGCATTTGTTTGCAACCTTGTCCCACATCCCACTGCCCACCTTCACCCCCCTGCGTTCCCGCATCTTCTTGCGTGTGTGTGCCCCTGTGTGCCCTCATCTCCCTCTGTGTGTGTGCCCCTGTGTGCCCTCATCTCCCTCTGTGTGTGTGCCCCTGTGTGCCCTCATCTCCCTCTGTGTGTGTGCCCCTGTGTGCCCTCATCTCCCTCTGTGTGTGTGCCCCTGTGTGCCCTCATCTCCCTCTGTGTGTGTGCCCCTGTGTGCCCTCATCTCCCTCTGTGTGTGTGCCCCTGTGTGCCCTCATCTCCCTCTGTGTGTGTGCCCCTGTGTGCCCTCATCTCCCTCTGTGTGTGTGCCCCTGTGTGCCCTCATCTCCCTCTGTGTGTGTGCCCCTGTGTGCCCTCATCTCCCTCTGTGTGTGTGCCCCTGTGTGCCCTCATCTCCCTCTGTGTGTGTGGCCCCTGTGTGCCCTCATCTCCCTCTGTGTGTGTGCCCCTGTGTGCCCTCATCTCCCTCTGTGTGTGTGCCCCTGTGTGCCCTCATCTCCCTCTGTGTGTGTGCCCCTGTGTGCCCTCATCTCCCTCTGTGTGTGTGCCCCTGTGTGCCCTCATCTCCCTCTGTGTGTGTGCCCCTGTGTGCCCTCATCTCCCTCTGTGTGTGTGCCCCTGTGTGCCCTCATCTCCCTCTGTGTGTGTGCCCCTGTGTGCCCTCATCCCCTCTGTGTGTGTGCCCCTGTGTGCCCTCATCTCCCTCTGTGTGTGTGCCCCTGTGTGCCCTCATCTCCCTCTGTGTGTGTGCCCCTGTGTGTGCCCTCATCTCCCTCTGTGTGTGTGCCCCTGTGTGCCCTCATCGCCCTCTGTGTGTGTGCCCCTGTGTGCCCTCATCTCCCTCTGTGTGTGTGCCCCTGTGTGCCCTCATCTCCCTCTGTGTGTGTGCCCCTGTGTGCCCTCATCTCCCTCTGTGTGTGTGCCCCTGTGTGCCCTCATCTCCCTCTGTGTGTGTGCCCCTGTGTGCCCTCATCTCCCTCTGTGTGTGTGCCCCTGTGTGCCCTCATCTCCCTCTGTGTGTGTGCCCCTGTGTGCCCTCATCTCCCTCTGTGTGTGTGCCCCTGTGTGTGCCCTCATCTCCCTCTGTGTGTGTGCCCCTGTGTGCCCTCATCGCCCTCTGTGTGTGTGCCCCTGTGTGCCCTCATCGCCCTCTGTGTGTGTGCCCCTGTGTGCCCTCATCTCCCTCTGTGTGTGTGCCCCTGTGTGCCCTCATCTCCCTCTGTGTGTGTGCCCCTGTGTGCCCTCATCTCCCTCTGTGTGTGTGCCCCTGTGTGCCCTCATCTCCCTCTGTGTGTGTGCCCCTGTGTGCCCTCATCTCCCTCTGTGTGTGTGCCCCTGTGTGCCCTCATCTCCCTCTGTGTGTGTGCCCCTGTGTGCCCTCATCTCCCTCTGTGTGTGTGCCCCTGTGTGTGCCCTCATCTCCCTCTGTGTGTGTGCCCCTGTGTGCCCTCATCGCCCTCTGTGTGTGTGCCCCTGTGTGCCCTCATCGCCCTCTGTGTGTGTGCCCCTGTGTGCCCTCATCGCCCTCTGTGTGTGTGCCCCTGTGTGCCCTCATCGCCCTCTGTGTGTGTGCCCTCATCTCCCTCTGTGTGTGTGCCCCTGTGTGCCCTCATCTCCCTCTGTGTGTGTGCCCCTGTGTGCCCTCATCTCCCTCTGTGTGTGTGCCCCTGTGTGCCCTCATCTCCCTCTGTGTGTGTGCCCCTGTGTGCCCTCATCTCCCTCTGTGTGTGTGCCCCTGTGTGTGCCCTCATCTCCCTCTGTGTGTGTGCCCCTGTGTGCCCTCATCGCCCTCTGTGTGTGTGCCCCTGTGTGCCCTCATCTCCCTCTGTGTGTGTGCCCCTGTGTGCCCTCATCTCCCTCTGTGTGTGTGCCCCTGTGTGCCCTCATCTCCCTCTGTGTGTGTGCCCCTGTGTGCCCTCATCTCCCTCTGTGTGTGTGCCCCTGTGTGCCCTCATCTCCCTCTGTGTGTGTGCCCCTGTGTGCCCTCATCTCCCTCTGTGTGTGTGCCCCTGTGTGCCCTCATCTCCCTCTGTGTGTGTGCCCCTGTGTGCCCTCATCTCCCTCTGTGTGTGTGCCCCTGTGTGCCCTCATCTCCCTCTGTGTGTGTGCCCCTGTGTGCCCTCATCTCCCTCTGTGTGTGTGCCCCTGTGTGCCCTCATCTCCCTCTGTGTGTGTGCCCCTGTGTGCCCTCATCTCCCTCTGTGTGTGTGCCCCTGTGTGTGCCCTCATCTCCCTCTGTGTGTGTGCCCCTGTGTGCCCTCATCGCCCTCTGTGTGTGTGCCCCTGTGTGCCCTCATCGCCCTCTGTGTGTGTGCCCCTGTGTGCCCTCATCGCCCTCTGTGTGTGTGCCCCTGTGTGCCCTCATCGCCCTCTGTGTGTGTGCCCTCATCTCCCTCTGTGTGTGTGCCCCTGTGTGCCCTCATCTCCCTCTGTGTGTGTGCCCCTGTGTGCCCTCATCTCCCTCTGTGTGTGTGCCCCTGTGTGCCCTCATCTCCCTCTGTGTGTGTGCCCCTGTGTGCCCTCATCTCCCTCTGTGTGTGTGCCCCTGTGTGTGCCCTCATCTCCCTCTGTGTGTGTGCCCCTGTGTGCCCTCATCGCCCTCTGTGTGTGTGCCCCTGTGTGCCCTCATCTCCCTCTGTGTGTGTGCCCCTGTGTGCCCTCATCTCCCTCTGTGTGTGTGCCCCTGTGTGCCCTCATCTCCCTCTGTGTGTGTGCCCCTGTGTGCCCTCATCTCCCTCTGTGTGTGTGCCCCTGTGTGCCCTCATCTCCCTCTGTGTGTGTGCCCCTGTGTGCCCTCATCTCCCTCTGTGTGTGTGCCCCTGTGTGCCCTCATCTCCCTCTGTGTGTGTGCCCCTGTGTGCCCTCATCTCCCTCTGTGTGTGTGCCCCTGTGTGCCCTCATCTCCCTCTGTGTGTGTGCCCCTGTGTGCCCTCATCTCCCTCTGTGTGTGTGCCCCTGTGTGCCCTCATCTCCCTCTGTGTGTGTGCCCTCATCGCCCTCTGTGTGTGTGCCCTCATCCCCTCTGTGTGTGTGCCTCATCGCCCTCTGTGTGTGTGCCCTCATCGCCCTCTGTGTGTGTGCCCTCATCGCCCTCTGTGTGTGTGCCCTCATCGCCCTCTGTGTGTGTGCCCTCATCGCCCTCTGTGTGTGTGCCCTCATCGCCCTCTGTGTGTGTGCCCTCATCGCCCTCTGTGTGTGTGCCCTCATCGCCCTCTGTGTGTGTGCCCTCATCGCCCTCTGTGTGTGTGCCCTCATCGCCCTCTGTGTGTGTGCCCTCATCGCCCTCTGTGTGTGTGCCCTCATCGCCCTCTGTGTGTGTGTGCCCCTGTGTGCCCTCATCTCCCTCTGTGTGTGTGCCCCTGTGTGCCCTCATCTCCCTCTGTGTGTGTGCCCCTGTGTGCCCTCATCTCCCTCTGTGTGTGTGCCCCTGTGTGCCCTCATCTCCCTCTGTGTGTGTGCCCCTGTGTGCCCTCATCTCCCTCTGTGTGTGTGCCCCTGTGTGCCCTCATCTCCCTCTGTGTGTGTGCCCCTGTGTGCCCTCATCTCCCTCTGTGTGTGTGCCCCTGTGTGTGCCCTCATCTCCCTCTGTGTGTGTGCCCCTGTGTGCCCTCATCGCCCTCTGTGTGTGTGCCCCTGTGTGCCCTCATCGCCCTCTGTGTGTGTGCCCCTGTGTGCCCTCATCGCCCTCTGTGTGTGTGCCCCTGTGTGCCCTCATCGCCCTCTGTGTGTGTGCCCTCATCTCCCTCTGTGTGTGTGCCCCTGTGTGCCCTCATCTCCCTCTGTGTGTGTGCCCCTGTGTGCCCTCATCTCCCTCTGTGTGTGTGCCCCTGTGTGCCCTCATCTCCCTCTGTGTGTGTGCCCCTGTGTGCCCTCATCTCCCTCTGTGTGTGTGCCCCTGTGTGTGCCCTCATCTCCCTCTGTGTGTGTGCCCCTGTGTGCCCTCATCGCCCTCTGTGTGTGTGCCCCTGTGTGCCCTCATCTCCCTCTGTGTGTGTGCCCCTGTGTGCCCTCATCTCCCTCTGTGTGTGTGCCCCTGTGTGCCCTCATCTCCCTCTGTGTGTGTGCCCCTGTGTGCCCTCATCTCCCTCTGTGTGTGTGCCCCTGTGTGCCCTCATCTCCCTCTGTGTGTGTGCCCCTGTGTGCCCTCATCTCCCTCTGTGTGTGTGCCCCTGTGTGCCCTCATCTCCCTCTGTGTGTGTGCCCCTGTGTGCCCTCATCTCCCTCTGTGTGTGTGCCCCTGTGTGCCCTCATCTCCCTCTGTGTGTGTGCCCCTGTGTGCCCTCATCTCCCTCTGTGTGTGTGCCCCTGTGTGCCCTCATCGCCCTCTGTGTGTGTGCCCTCATCGCCCTCTGTGTGTGTGCCCTCATCGCCCTCTGTGTGTGTGCCCTCATCGCCCTCTGTGTGTGTGCCCTCATCGCCCTCTGTGTGTGTGCCCTCATCGCCCTCTGTGTGTGTGCCCTCATCGCCCTCTGTGTGTGTGCCCTCATCGCCCTCTGTGTGTGTGCCCTCATCGCCCTCTGTGTGTGTGCCCTCATCGCCCTCTGTGTGTGTGCCCTCATCGCCCTCTGTGTGTGTGCCCTCATCGCCCTCTGTGTGTGTGCCCTCATCGCCCCTCAGAGCCGTGTCCCGATGGCCAGCAAGCAGAGCCGGACCCCCAGTCAGGGGAAATCCGCTGCACACTCTGCCCCCCTGTGAGTGCCTTGCTTGCTCCCTCTGCCCCCCTGTGAGTGCCTTGCTTGCTCCCTCTGGCCCCTGTGAGTGCCTTGCTTGCTCCCTCTGCCCCCCTGTGAGTGCCTTGCTTGCTCCCTCTGGCCCCTGTGAGTGCCTTGCTTGCTCCCTCTGCCCCCCTGTGAGTGCCTTGCTTGCTCCCTCTGCCCCCCTGTGAGTGCTTTGCTTGCTCCCTCTGCCCCCCTGTGACAGTGCCTCTGCTGTTCCCACTGCTCCACCCATCCCTCACTTGCGAACCTTCTCGTAGACACCATCAAGCCCCCCGCACCCCCAAACCGCAGGCACAGCACGGCAGGCGAGCTACGAGGGTGGGGCGGGCGGCATGCTGGACGCGCAGTGCGAGGCGTGCGAGGCGGGGCAGGTGGCGATGAAGACCCTCTCCCTCAAGCACTTCGCCATGCAGCACAACGGCGCGCTGCCGCCCGGATTCACCACGGGGTGCCACGGCGACTGCGGCACGTTCGGGTGGCGCGCCTTCCAGGACCACCTCGACTCCGGCAGCGGCCACGGGCCCTCCGCCACCGTGAGAGGAATCAAAGACTCAAGGACTCAAGGACTGAAGGACATGCGTGCAATGCACTGAACCTCTCCGTGCTTGCCCTGAATCACCGCGCCCTCGCTTCACCTTCACCCTCCTCAACTGCCCTCATTTCAGTCCTATATCCTCCCTCTCCCTCTCCTCAACCTCCCCCCCCACGCGTCAGATCTGGCTGGCGCTGGACGTGCGCATGGCGGTGCGCGGGTACATGACGTTCAACTACTCCGTGGACATCCTGCCAGGGGACCCGGGCAGGGCCTTCTTCTTCTTCATCGACCACGACCTCATGGACTATGTGGAGGTATGACCTCATGGGCTATGTGGAGGTATGACCTCATGGACTATGTGGAGGTATGACCTCATTGGCTATGTGGAGGTATGACCTCATGGACTATGTGGAGGTATGACCTCATGGACTATGTGGAGGTATGACCTCATGGGCTATGTGGAGGTATGACCTCATGGACTATGTGGAGGTATGACCTCATGGGCTATGTGGAGGTATGACCTCATGGGCTATGTGGAGGTATGACCTCATGAACTATGTGGAGGTATGACCTCATGGGCTATGTGGAGGTATGACCTCATGGACTATGTGGAGGTATGACCTCATGGACAAGGGCAATGGCAATGACATCCTTACCCTTCCCAATGCTTGTTCCCCCACCACCAGCAACAACGGGTGGAGTGGGAGGGCGGAGGGGAGGGCGAGGGGTACGAGCACCCGGGGGCGGCGGAGGACGAGGCGCGGATGAGCGGCATGTGGGAGCTGGATGCGGGCAACCACACCGTGATGTGGGTGTGGCAGAAGCTGCACGACACGGGCGCGGCTGCAAGGACCACTCGTGACTCGGCAGTCATCTATGAGATCCAGGTGCGTCGCATGCCGTGGAAGGTATGAGTGCACACATGAAGGCAGGGCGCTAGTGATGCTGCTGGCGAAGGTCTATTGGCGTGTTGGCGTGTCCACGCATGCACATTATGCTTTCCTTGCTGGATAAAGAGTAACGCTGTGATGTGGGCTGAAGGATGTTTGTATGTTTGTCTCCCCACAAATATAACAACGGGCGCATTCATAATTACGTCTTTGGGTGCATGGCTGCCTACATGCGTCGGCACGGTGCAGATAGAGGGCGTGGCGGAGGGGGGTGCAGCGCGGTGTGAGGAGGTGCCGCAGGGGTCGGTGCTGGCAGCGGGGGGCGACTCGTACGTGCCGTGCCCCCCCGGCACGTCCAGCGAGGGCGGCAACTCCTCGTGCCTGCCGTGCCCGCCCAACACCTTCAACAGCCAGCCCGAGGTAACGTCCCTGCCACGCCATGACCCATGCCAGGCGCACCCTAGCAAGCCATGCCATACCCTGCGTGTCATCCATGTCATGCTGCCCCTAGCCATCCGAAGTGCACCCACTGCCCAGACACAACAACATGCCGTTGTTCCACCATACCCCCTCATTCCCATCCCATGCACCTCTCCCTGTCCCTCATCCTATCACCTCTGATCCACCCCCCCCCGTGCCTCCCTCACCGTGCTGCTAGGGAGCGCAGTGGGCGTGCATGCCGTGTGGCCTGGGCACGTCGTCCCTGGAGGGCAGCCGGGAGTGCGTCATAGGCGATGCCACGCGCCCTGAGTCCTTCTGCACCTTCACGCTCTCCCGGGACTCGCTGCGCACCCCAGCCCAGCAGGGCCAGGAGGGGGAGGAGGGGAAAGAGGGCGAGGAGGGGCAGCAGGAGGAGGAGGAGGGCGCATTGCCCCCGGATGATTTCAGTGGTGCGTTCACAGACGCCACAGGGGACACCATGGCTGCTGTGATTGCCAATCAGTCGGCGGCAGCTGTGGTGTTCGACCTCTCCCCTCTGTCGCGCATGCACCCCGGCCGAATGTTCGGCCCCGTGCTGGATGCTGCTGCTGCTGCTGCTGCTGGGGGGCACGCAGGGGCAGGGGGGGGAGGGGGTGGTGCACAGAAGGGGAAAGGGGGCGGGGCGGGGCGGCAGCAGGCGGAGTATTTCTTCAGTGTGTGCAAGCGGGACACCAGCAACGACACCTGCTATGACTACTCGGGCCAATCGCTCAACACATACGCGTGCAAGGTATCTAAGTGCGTGGCAGCTTTCTGAGTGCGTGGCAGCTTTCAAAGCACGTGGAGCTGCCCCTAGTGCTGTGCCACACTGCAGCACCACACCCCCCTCCACCCCTGCTCTCCATCCCTACCACTCTCCCTGTCCCTGCCCACCACATCTACCCTGCCTCATCCACGCATTCCCACCTCCCCTCTCCTGCACATTCCGTCACCCCAACCCCCCCACAAGGTGGATCCACAAGAGGCTATAGGGGGCGGGCTGCGCCCGGGCCACAGCCTGGGCAGTGCGGTTTCAGTGGAGTCGCTGGCAGCAGTGCACCCGGCGCTGTACCGGCGGGGGCTGGTGATGGCGCTGACAGGGGACGAGTGCCCGCAGACCAACATGCCGCGCGAGACCAAAGTCACCTTCATATGCGACCCCGCTGCTGGTGGGACAGGAGGTGGTTGGGGCAGGGCGAGCTAGTGGGATTGGTGCCGCACACCTTGCCTCCACAGCATTCTGAGTCCTTCCATGGGCCACACCCGAACCGTCCACCATCTACTATCCGCCCCCCCCCCCCTCCCCTCACCAGGCCACGGGCAGCCAGAGGCGTGGACGGCAGAGGGGCAGGAGGCAGCGTTGAACCCAGCACTGGCCTACCCGCACTACGTATCGCGGGAGGGCGCGGTGCAGCCCATCGAGCAGAGCGACTGCTCGTTCGGCGTGGTGTGGTACTCGCTGTTTGCGTGCCCGCTGTGCACGGAGGACGACTACAAGCGTGTGGAGGCTGCTGCCTGCATGGACGACAAGAGGGCCACCTTCAAGTGGAAAACACCCACAGTACGTTGCACGCACCTCAATGCTATTCTTTACCGCGTCGTCCTCCCAATTTCTCCAGCGTCCAGATAATGCACATGTTATGTTCCCCCACTCCCCTCTCTTCCCTTGGGCTTGCTGCACCCCCACCGCAGCTGTGTCAGCTGAACCCGTCGCACCCTCTTCCACCGGACGAGCCCTGTGAGCCGTGCCAGCAGGGAGAAATCATCCGCACAGTGGGCGACTGTGCCGACGCCGACGGGCGCCACAACGTCACGTTCGCGTGGCGCCAGCCGCACCACTGCAGCGCCACGCTGCCGGGGGCTGCCTCTCTGCCCGCAGCAGAGCTGGTGGGGCCGTGTGAGCAGCGCCTGCTGTACGTGGCGTCAGAGGCCCTCTCCCCCATGTGGGCGGCGCTCTTCGTGGCCCTCGGCCTCTGTATCGTGTGCTTTGGCTCGCTGTCCCTCATGACGTGGTTGCGCAGCCGTCGATTGCGGCAGATGTATGAACGGCTGGTGGAGGCCGAGGTGCAGATGGAGCGGGAGATGGGCGACCTGCATGGGGATGATGACGCGGATGTGGATGCGGATGTGGAGGACACACGACAGCTCACTAATGGTGACTCCTAGGGGAGCCACTGAGTGATTTTCATTAAGTATTTAGTGCGTTTGGAGGGCGAGATTTCCGAACATATAGGTGTACATATAGGTATTGCATCAAACTTCTATTAGCCTCTTGTAAAGGCCTTACCCGCTTTATTTAGCACAGAGATGTAGCAGTAAATGGTGATGCGTATTGTCCTTGTTACTGTGTTGCTTTCAGATGACACATCCATCCATGACATGTCAAGCATCACCCGCACCTAACCGAAGCGAACCCCCAACAGATGGTCCTGTTCTGTGTGTTCACTTGCCCGTGCGCGAGTCGTCCGCATCGCCACCAGCGCGCGCGCGGTTGTCCTGGCGGGCGTGGTAGGCGTGGCGGCAGGCATGGGAGTGGGCGACGCGCTCGTGATTCAGACGGCGCTCACCATCACCCTCGCGTCCACCGCCAAGCGAGCCGGATGGATCAGGTGATGACACGGACCAGGCAGCGCGAGGGGAGGGGATGGCTCAAGCAGGGATGGGGAGTTGGGGAACAACCGGCGGGCAGCGCTGAGGACTGCGCGTGTATGCTCGCCTGCCGTGCTGGGAAGCTGCCGTAGTGCCCGCCCCCCCTCTGCTCCTCCCAGCGAGGAGCCATATGGGGCTGTCCTGAGGGCTGCCTCCTGCCAGCGCCCTGTGCCTGCCTCCTATTCGTCTCACTCTCTCTCCATCTCCCAAACCCTTCCCTTTCCCAATCCCTGTGGCCGGGTGCACGGCATGCGCGGGTGCATGGCATGCGCGGGTGCACGGCATGCGCGGGTGCATGGCATGCGTGGGTGCACGGCATGCGCGGGCAGCTACCACCCCGAGAGGATTGAGAACGAGAATGTGAAGAAGGCAGTGGACGTGGCGCTGTGGGTGGGCAACAACATCACCGCGCTGGTGAGACACGCACCACGGGTGCCGTTGCTCGCATGCTGGCGCTCCTCTTCTGTCCGTGCCACCGTACCACCGTACCACTGTACCACCGTACCACCGTATCACCGTACCACCGTACCACCATGCAGTGCATGCCACACCAAACAGGACATGCCCCTCCACTTACTGACCCCCTTGGCTCCTGGCCACCCTGCCACGATGCCCCACCCCCCATTGTCTCTCACAGGGCTGTGCGGTGATATCGACGGTGAAGAGGATGGTGGGGCGCGGCGGACGCAAGCTGGGCCGCCAGTGAGGGGTACCAAGTTGACGGTGCTGGTTCAGGCATCAGGCCACTGGGCATTAGCTCACTGGCAGCCATTGTTAGGAAAGGTTGCCTGTTGACTGCTGCATTAGAGATCAAGGGTTACATGCTAGGAAATACTAGAGTCTAATGCCTAACGTTTTTACATACATATTGAACTGCATGGCAGACGAACACAAGATGATTCCATCCAAGCACCGGGCAGGGCAGCACGGATTCTACAGCTCTGCTCCACGTTGATGACGTCTCCAGTCCGGCGCTGGCACATCCTCTACTCCCCCTCCCCCCTCCCCTCACTGTTTCTTCCACTGCACACACAGCCACTCATCAAACACGCCCCCTCCACCCTCTCCGCTACCCCCCTCCCCCTCACCCCCTTGCATCCCTTGTCTCTCTCCTTCCGCTTCTCCCTGCATCTCCACTTCCCCCTCCCCTGCTCCCTGATTCTCCCCGCCCTCGGTGCCCTGCCCCCCTGCAGTCTGCGCCTTGGGGAAGTGCCAGCCGCCCTCGCTTGACTCCTGGGGAGGGGGCAGGGCGTGGATGAGAGAAGGGCGAGGGAGAAAGAGGCGCGAGAGACGGGGTGAGTGGGGAGGGGCCGCACATGCTTGTGGGGCAGTGATGCGGCACAGAACATGATAATGGGTGGAAAAGACACGGGATGAGGGGCTGCGCCTAGCTGGATGAGCAAGGGGCAGCGCTGACCTGGATGAGCAAGGGGCAGCGCTGACCTGGATGACAAAGGAGAAGTTGGGCGGCATGCGCAGGGCCTTGAGGCGTCATGGTGAAGCGAACCTGCCATGCCATGCCATGCCATGCCATGCCATGCCACACAAAGCACGTCACAAGCGAGACCGGATGCAAAGAACGAATTGGGAACAGTTGGTAGGAGGCAAAATGCAGTGACAGTCGGAGGCATGGTGCACACATGGTAGGTGTGGTGCCTTGGCAACCCACACACCACCCCCTCACCTGGTGCCCCATCCATCTGTTGAAGTAGTCGGCGCCCAGCGTCTGGAAGATGTGGTCGCGCATCTCGTCGTTAGTCACCAGCAGACACTGCATCTCAATTGCCGCATACAGCCAGTACCTGCCATGCCATGGGAGGAGGGGGGGGGAGAAGACCAAGGCGTGATGCAGGTGAGGGTGGGTCAGGATGAGGCAGCGCTGGAGCAGCTGCCAGGGCATGAGAGCAAGGGGAGTAGCGCTTTGCACAGCAGCACGGCACCGCATGTGGCAGCAGTGCAGCGTACCAGTCGTCGTTGGCGCCGGTGGGGGTGGTGTAGAGGCAGTGCTGCTGCTCGTACTGTGCCAGGCACTGCTGCGCAAACGGCTGCGCCGCCGGCCCACCCTTCACGCGCTTGTGGTGCACCACCAGCAGCGGCAGGCGCGGGGAGGCGGAGGGGGAGTCTGAGGACGCCTCTGAAGGCATGGCCGAGCCTGGGGCGGCGGGTGCGAGGGCGGCCACGGCCTTGGCGACGGAGTGGAGCTGCCAGAAGTTGAACCCGCCCTGCGCGAGGTTCTGGTGGTACAGTCCCACGTTCGCCGCGTCCACCACGGCGCTGAACGGCCCGTGCTTTACCAGCCATGCCTTGAACACCGCCAGCTCGCGCGCCTTGCCCCGCGCCGCCACCAGCGCGTCTTGCCCCGCACCGCCACCAGCGTGCCACGGCGCGGGCAAAGCGCTCCGTCTCCTCGTCGTCCAGGTCTATGGTCGCCAGCTGCCCGCCGCACCCGCTGCACACGCCCACCTCGTCCACAAGCACGTCCTGCACCTGCCACTCGCCGCCCTTGCCCCCTGCGGCCCCTGCGTTGTGGCTATCCATGGTCCAGCCCGGCCCGTGCCATCCCCCCCCGTTCACTCTCATCGCCCTCTCCGCCTCCTCCCAGCTCCATGTCTTCCGCCCTGCCTCCGCCCCCTCCCCCTTCACCTCTGTCTCCCCCTCACAGCTGCCTGATTCTCCTGCCTCCTCTGCTCTCGTCTCCCCCTCACCATCCCCCCCTCCCTGTCTCGCACTGGCGGACTCAAACCAAGCTCTCAACGACCCTATCACGTCCTCGGGCAGCCCACGCGCAACTTTCCGCATGCGGTGAATGTTTTTGTACACGCTGCCCGGGCTGCCCGCCCGCACGCTCACGTCCAGCAGCGCAGCAACCTGTTCGGGCAGCGCGGCAAGCCCCCCTGCAGCCATGTGTTGGAAGACCTCCTCGGCGCGGGGCAGGTCGCCCTGGCGGCAGAAGGCGAGCAGCGCGGGGTCGTACGAGCGGTGGCGCGGTGCGCCACCATGTCCTCCACCACGCGGAACGCCATGCGCGCGTCGCCCCGCGCCGACGCCAGGCGCGCGAGCGCGGTGAAGGTGGCTTTGTTGAGCGGCACGGCGCGGCGCTGCATGTCGGCGTACACCTCCATGCTGCGCGCCGCCGCCACGCGCCTCGCCTCCTCCCGACTCCACTGCTCCCCCGCTGCTTCGCCCCCTCTGTCTGCCGCGCTGCTGTCTTCCCCGCCTGACCCTGCCCCATTCTCCCCCCCCTGCACCATGCCCACCTCCCCCGTGATGGCGACGAGCGAGCAGAGGTAAAGCAGGATGTTGTACTCGTACGTCTTGAACGCGGGGCCCGTGCCCGCCACGTGCGCGTCGAAGAGCGAGAGCGCGGTCTTGAGGTCGCGGTGCTTGCTGCACTGGTTCAGCAGCCGCTTCCCCTCCTCCTCCGCCGAGTACCTGCGCTTGCGCTTAGCCATGCCGCCGCCCCGCCCAGTACCGCCCTCGCTGCTGCGATCCTTGGTGGTGGGCACGGAAGCACTCTGGGCTGTTGCTGTTGTTGCTGCTGCTGCTGCTGCTGCTGACTACTCTTCGGGTTCTGTTACACATAGCTGCTCAGCGTGACTACGAGCTCCACTCCCTCGACTTCTCCACTGCCTTCCTTCAGGGCAGCCTACACGAGCAGGTCTACTTGCGTCGCCCTCAGGGCTTTACTGGCACCTTCCCTCCTGGGACCCAGTGGCTCCTCCGGCGCCCCGTCTACGGCCTGCGCCAGGCTCCCCGTGAGTGGCACGACACTCTCCGTGCTACGCTTGCTGACCTGCAGTTCTTTCCGTCTTCCGCAGACCCTTCAATCTTCGTTCGTGCTGGCCAGACTCCGTTCTACATCCTTGTTTACGTCGACGACCTGGTCTTTGCCACAGCAGACAGGGACGCACTGGCCTCCGTGAAGGCAGAGCTGCTGAAGAGACACACGTGCACTGACCTTGGAGAACTGCGCCGCTACCTTGGCTTGCAGATCTCCCGGGACAGAGCTTCGCGCACCATCACCCTGACTCAGTCACACTTGGTGCGCCAGGTCCTTCAGAGGTTCAGCCTTCAGTTCTCCTCTGCACAGCCCACCCCCCTGCCTGTAGACCACAGACTCTCCGCTCCAGTGTCTGAGGAGTTGGTAGAGCCCAGTGGCCCCTACGCAGAGCTGGTGGGTTGCCTCATGTACCTGATGACTTGCACTCGCCCAGATCTCGCATACCCTCTCAGCATCCTGGCTCGTTTTGTGGCCACAGGCAGACACCGACCGCAGCACTGGTCTACCGCTAAGAGGGTTCTGCGTTATCTTGCTAGTACATCGGGCATGGGGTTAGTGCTAGGAGGACGCAGGCCAGTGGTCCTTACTGGACACACAGACGCTTCGTGGGCAGACGACGCCGAGACACTCAGGTCTACCCAGGGCTACTGCTTCAGCCTTGGCTCAGCTGCCGTCTCGTGGAGAGCTACTCGCTCCTCGTCTGTTGCGCAGTCCAGCTGTGAGGCTGAGATCTACGCTGGTGCCATGGCGGCACAGGAGCTCCGCTGGCTGACCTTCTTGCTCACTGACTTAGGTGAGCGGCCTAGCTCTGCCCTGTTCCTGTTCGCTGACAACAGGGCCATGATCCTCCTGTGCCAGGAGCCTCGACTTGAGGGCAGAGCGAAGCACATTCAGCTGCGGTACTTTCTCCTGCGTGAGCTACAGCAGCGACGTCAGGCTCGCATAGTACACTTGGCCTCAGGTGCCAACACGGCTGATATCTTTACGAAGGCGCTTGCGCCTAAAGATCATCAGCCTCCGTTTTTGAGTGTGTGGGAGGGCAGCCCTCTCCAGCCCACTGCTTGCCGGCCTCCCCCTCTCCCGCCACACTATCTTCTCCTGCCTTCGTTGCTCCCGCCTGCTCTCTTCTCGCCACTCTCCCGTGTCAGCTGTTTTCACACAACCCAGTAGCCGTCTACTTGTTTCCACTGCCTCCTGTCTCCGTCCCCCTCATCCCTCCACTCTCCTTCTCCTTCCCCCACCGCCTGTGCTTGCCCCTGTGTGCCCCTGCCCCCTGCCGCATGTGTGCGTGCGTGGCCGCCATGGACCTGCATGGCGCCGTGCTCACAGGTGAGCACAGGGGGAGGGGCACTCATGGGCAGTGTCCCTGTGGTCTCTGGGAAGCACCGCCTATTGGATCCACAAGAACGATGAGCGTTGAGTCACCTATTCACAGTGCAACCTCCACTTGTGTATCGCCCCCGTGTTCTAGTGCTCCCCATTCCCCTCTGACCTCTCTCTCTTTCTCCCCTCCTCCCGCCCACCCAGTGACTCGAGCTGCCTCCCCTGGCCATGTGGGGTTGGGCGGCATGGTGCTAGCTGAGTCCACGTCAGCATTCCACCTGGTCACCACGGATGACCGGCTGAAAGGTGAATATACCATGCCACGTGATGCCATACCATGCGGCGCCCTAATCTGCCATGCACAGCACCACAACATCCAGTCCTATATCACTCTATGCTCCTTCCTCGTGCTCCATTGCCCCCCCACCCCCCCCCCCCCCCTTCCTCCTTATTGCTGCCCCATACCCCCCCCCCCCCACCCTCCCAGTCATCCCGACGCGGGGCTCTGAGTTTCAGCTGCACCTGCCGCCGCTGCTGCCACAGCCGGCAGCGCCAGGGCAGGCAGCGCTGCCGTGCACGCCGGTGGTGCAGCAGGTGGTCACTCTGATCGGGGACCTCATGGGCTCCAGGCCTCGCATGTGTTGTGGTATAATTCATACTTAGCATTTATGTAAGTCGTTTATTGATAGATAGTGTCGAATTCTACTGTAGAAGATAAGTCCGTAGGATGATGTCAGCAAATAACGCTCGTCATGAGGACAGTCGTTTCAGTCACTCGAACAGTCGCATCTCTTCGTTATCACCTGGGGCGCATAGCGCGATAGTGACGAACATGTACATTAGCAAACAGGTACTTTCCTAGAGCTATAAATCCTTGTAGTGTCCTTTTATTATTAACATTGAGATTTCAACTTCGAGAACTTTGAGACTTGACTTCCACAGAACTATATACTCAGGTTCACTCTTACAAGACTTCCGCTGTCTTACTAGTCTACCATTCTAATAAAGATCCTAGGCTAACACTTGAGGTTTTCCAAGTGTTTGTGTTTGCAGATTCTACACTTAGTCTCCTGCAACACCTGTCAAATTATTACATGGTATGAGAGCTGTCTGGAATTAAGACTACTATTAAAAATGACTGGATCAACACCAGCGCAATCTACCGGATCTACTGTACCTCCGGAACTACTGGAGTACCTGTCTCCACGACTGCCACTGGTCTCTCAGCCTCTGGACCGTTTCCACCGGCTTATGTGCACATCGGCATGCAGCAGAATCCGCCTTCTGTCAGTACTCCAGGGATGTCGTCAACTGCCCCTGCAGGGCTACAACATCAAACACAGGCAACAGCACAACATCAGACAACAGCTCAACAGCAAGCAACAGCACAACCACAGTTTTCAACTCAGTCAATATCGTCAGCGTTTAGTGGAATGAGTCTTGACCGCTCAAGTTATATGCGTGGAGCTACAGCTCGAAGTTCTGGCTCATTTGCCTTCTCACCTTTTGTGCAGCAGCCACAGTCGCAGCAGCAGCATCCCTTTTACATCATCGGGCGTTCACCTGCTCAGCAATAACCACAGCAGCATCAACAGCAACCACAGCAACAACAGCAACAGCAGCAACATCCAGAGCAGTTTCAACAACAGTAACAGCCTCAACAACAGGGTATTATCTTTCAACCACCGAATTTACTTAACAGCACACAGATCAAGACCACCATACCTTTTAACGGAGTGGGTTTTTACTCCTGGAGCTTCGAATTCGAACTTCTGGCACAGTCCGCCAGGCTATGGCCGTTCTTCACTGGCGAATTTACGTATCCTGTTACGGGAACCCAACTGGAGCAGTAGAGTTTCTTGCACGCCTCTCTCGGGGCGTATACGGTCCTTGTTTGGAACTTATCCCCAAAGGAGCAGCTCGGCGTCCGTTCTTTTCATTCAAGCTTTACGCCTGAAACTGCATGGAACCACTTAAAGGGTGTGTACATGGCAAAAAAATACAATAACAGTGAGTAAGATTCTTTCGCAACTGACAAGTGTGCAGATGATGACAAACGAGAATGTCATGGATTACATCAATCGTGTTCGTACACTACGCGATCAACTGGAGAAGAGTGGAGGATACTTCCCTCGTGAGATGTATCTCACGGTCCTTCTTGCTGGCCTTGGACCCGAATGGCGACAGACGCGCGCCTTCCTGTGCATGAATCTGAACCTCTCCGAAGCCGAGATTTCTTCGTATCTTCAAGCAGAGCAGCAAGATCTTGACCTGCAGTCACAACGCAATCAGAAGAAAGGGATACATTTAAGTTTTTACTCAAATCCAGAACCACAGCAACAACTTCCCCCGAAATATCCCTTCTGTCATTTCTGCAAAAAACCAGGACACACTTACCAAACTTGTCGCAGCCGACATCAAAATCGACGCAGTACTTCACAGCCATATCATCGTTCGTAGCAGTTGCCGAAGCCACATCAACCAACGCAGCAGTCGACGTCCCCGGCATAGCAGATGCCGAAACCACCGCAGAATACACCGTCGTCACAGCATCGACCTCCGGTTTTTGCATATGCAACATAAGGAAAAGGGGTTTTCGGATGTGTTACAACAGTTGATGTTTCAGAAACTGATTTCGAGACACAACTTGAAGAAACCACAAGTGCTGAAGGCATTCCCTTACCGCAAGTTTATGCTAACCTTGCTCGAGTCATTTCAGGACCCAATACTTGGTATCTCGACAGCTGTTGTGGTTGGCATATGTGCTCTGCTGAAACAAGCTTCATCACCAACCAGCGTCCACTTCGTCGTCCGATACCTGTCACAGTCGTAAACGAACAAACCATTATGGCAAGATCTGTTGGGACTGTAATGCTCGAATCAGTCGACACAGGATATTCCTTACACGTTACCAACATTCTTATCGTTGCCGGACTTGGCTTCAATCTTCTCTCCACAGCTCAACTCCTGGCACACAAGATTCGCACACAAGGAAACTGTGATACAATGGATCAAGAGTTATGGCACAGCTTAACAAATACCTACCTCTGTCGTGCTGCTACTCAACATGGAGTATCAGTTCTTCAGTTCATGGCACAAGGCACCTCTGGTGATTCTGAACGTGTCCTTGCACTTGGTCCCTGGGATCACCCAGAAGAAACAGATTATCAACACGTGGATATTGATTTTCGAGCAACTACCGTACCAACAGCTTCTCGAACTGCAGCAGCCGTTCTTACCGCACTGGATACTTGGGAGTTCAATACCGCCGATGAAGGCGCCAACGCGTGGCGAACGTTTTATAAAACCCGCTCGGCCTTCCAAGGAACTCTAGCTCCACTTTGGGGCGAAATTAGCGGACTTGCCGCTGATGAGCCCGCAGTCGTCGAAGAAACAGTGAAAGCAGAAGTCACCGAGCAGCCGAGTCTTCCAGTAGCCGTTGCAGG